GCCAGCTCCTGATATTCCCAGTTAATCCTGAATATTCTTGGAATTTTGGGGGACCAAGACCCAATTGTATCTGAAAAATACCGATAAGGTATTTTTCAGATATATTATTTGGGCTCAGTTTTATCTGAGTGCACATCCTTATTTCAGAGCAGGATCTGAGAGAGGCAAGTGTGAATCCCTATTCTGCCAAAAAAGGTCACTGACCTTTGGCCAGTAACATATTATCAGCCTAACTTATCTCATATGCAATGCTCCTTCTAATCTGTGGAGTCACATGAACTCATCTTAGAGGGAACACTACTCATATGTGAGGATAAACCGGAAGCAAATAATGTAAGCTTCTCTGGGTCCCCATTATAGAGATACATAGGATATAAATTAAATAATAAACATAGCTGAAGATTGGGGGGGGGGAGATAAAAGGAAGGTTGGTTGGTGGCTAGGAAGGAGAGAAGGAAGCAGAGAAAGGTGAAGGCATGAAGGCTGCCAGAAGGAGGGAAGAGGGATGCAGAGGAAAGTAAGGTGCCCCCCCCCACAAGTCTTTGAGGGTTGGTTCTGGCCAAGTGGCTAGTACTGCACAACTGAGCCACCGTTTTCCTAGGCAGAGGCTGCTGGGGGGAGAGGGGCAGATAAATATAGGCTGGCTGTTGGGTGGGAAGGGGAGAAGGAATCAGAAAATGGGGAGAGGCTGTGGGGGCTCTCAGGAAAGGTAAAGAGGAAATAGTGTGTGAGGGGTCCTTGTGGGTCTCCCACTTGTATTACTTCTGAATGCCTATAGCAACTGCTTGATTGTACTAATTACTTCCCTCACTGAACTCTCTAAGATTTCATCGTATTAAGGCTTCAGTATTTTTCGAAGCCCTGACCTGGATGGTCCGGGCTAGACTGATCGTGTCAGATCTTGGAAGCTAAGAAAGGTTGGCCCTGGTTAAGTACTTGTCTTGAAAACTCTACAAGACCCCCATAAGTCAGCACTTTCCATCACCGCTGAAGGACATCAAGAGTGGAAAGACACCAGGCTTTGACTGCATCCATAATGAGTTCCTGATCAACAGTGGCACATTCACTAAGAAGTGGCTTGCAAAGTTTCTCACTGACATCATGAGTGTAAAGAAAAATGGTTTCTTGTTCTGAGTTACAAACTAAAATCTTTGGTTCAGGCTGTGTAGAGGCCTAGAGAAACTTTCTCATAGACAGAGATAACAGAGAGAGCGCTGTGACCTTGCTAAAGTGTTTTCAGCTGTGGATGGTACTAAGCTACCAACTGCCCTTGAAGCTCCCAAATAGCACTTTCCAAAGCAATTGAGCTACAGACACCTGTGTGGGGGTTGTTCGGACCTAGCTGCAGATAGTTTTGATTCTCTCCCCCCACCCTCTTGTTCATTCCAGGATGTCATGTGCCTAGCAACAGAGAGAGTTACATCTCCTCTCTGATCTCTGGTCAGAGACCCTTTCCTATAAAGTTAGTTAACATTCTTTCAGTATGGTGGTGCCTGGAGACTTTTGACATGGCTTTGTCAATAGTCCCAGAAGCAACCCAGCAATGGCATCCCATCTTGATTCCTGCCTGGACTGGCTGATTGTGTGAACTTCTTGTTTTGCTGGAACTGACTGCCTCTGCAACCTGGAAAGAGTAACTAGAACTTTGTCTGTATATGTTTAGCTATGCTGGAAAAGCTTAGGTTTGATTATTTTTATTCCTTCACTGTCTGAGTCTTGTTCTTAAATATTTTTGCACCTTAAATAAATAATTATATTAAGCTCTGTCGTGGTTCTTGCCTTCAATTAACCTCAAAGAATAATTATATTTTACTCTGTCGTGGTTCTTGCCTTCAATTAACCTCAAAGCCTAAATCCAAAAGGCCTTGACTCTTGACTGCCTACCAAGTTAACTGTTTTGTCTTGGAAACTCAGGCTGCAGCTTAGCTCTGCAGGGCTGACTTCTCCTGTTTAGTTCCCTGAGAAGCTGGGAGGCTTGGTCTTTCTCTCCTGGGTTGTTGGGATAGATTGAAAGACCTGGTGGCAACCTACCAAGGCTTGGGTGAGTTTGTAGACTCTCTCAAGTATTTTGTAACTGTGTTTTGCAACGCTCTCCCCCTTGAACCAAAAGTTCCTGGCCCGGATGGGACTGGCACTTTTGACAATGAGAACAGGAAGACTCCCAGGGGAAATCAAGAAAGCAAAGATAGCTACTATTTTGAAAATTGGAAAACTACATCTGGCAGAAAGTTGCATACCTACTTCCATTCTGAGCTCCTGTCATAAATTCCTCGAGAGGCTAATCCTGAACAGAATCAGTGACAGAATCTACAAACATGTCCCTATTGAGCAAGCAGGATTGAGACCCCGTCACAGTTGTGAAGACCAAGTTCTCAGCTTAACAACTTTCACTGAGGCAGGGTATCAGAAGTGTCTTAAGACATCAGCAGTTTTCATCAATCTGACTGCTGCTTATGACACAGTCTGGAGGGATGGTCTGTTGTACAAGTTTTTACAACATTTCCCTTGCAAAACTTTCCATGTAATTATGGGTCAGTCAATCAGCAAACAGAAGAAACTGAACAACAGTCTACCCCAGGGCTCGGTCCTCACTCCAGTTCTTTTCAGTCTATAATTCTCTGACGTTCCCGAGATGATATCCAGGAAGTTTGCTTATCTTGGTGACATGGCAGTTGTAGTAAGGCTCAAATCAAGTGAAAGAACTGAAGAAATACTGACTAGGGACCTCAAAACTTGGCTGACTACCATTGTAAATGATGCTTATCCCAAATTCCAGGAAAAAACAGAATGCTGCTCTTTCCATTTCAATAACAATCTTGCCAACCGTGAATTGAATGTCTACCTTCATGGCACCTGACTTATACACAACCACACACCTAAGTACTTTGGCATTACCCTGGACAGGACCTTGAGCTATGAACATCATCTTACCAATGTAGCAGCAAAAATACGCATGCAAAACAACATTCTACAAAAAATATGTGGTACAACTTGTGGTGCATCTGCTACAACACTTAGATGCTCAGCTCTGCGGTTGGTGTATAGTACTGCGGAATATGGTGCTTCAGTGTGGCTCAACAGCCCATGTCCAAAAATTTGATGTCCAACTCAATACAACAACGAGAACCATCAGCAGATGTATTAAACCCACTCTGACCTATTGGCTACCCATGTTGTGCCACATCACTCCCCCGCATCTCCAAAGACAAGATGCTCTTCTCCATGAATATAGAAAGATCACTGAAAACAGAGAGCTGACCATCCACAAAGACATGGCTGATATGGGCCTATCCAGACTAAGATCCCGACACACAGCAATAAGACCTGCAAAAATCCTGCAATCACAAAATTTAATTCCAGGGAATGAATGGTTGCGAACATGGATGCAATCAGTTTCACCCGATACCCATAACTTGATAAACGCCAACAAGAGGCCCTCAGGATTTGACTTGCCATGTAAAGTATGGCAGATAGCTAATCAAATATGAACAGGCTTCAGCAGTTGTGAAGATCTGTTATTTAAATGGGGCAAAATACCAGGACCCAAATGCAATTGTGGTGCAGCCCAACAAACTATTTTCCATCTGTCACAGGAATGTGAGTGTTGTGCTTTCCAGGGAGATGTGACGGAGCTCTCTGAACTCACCCCAGCTGCGATTGAGTGGATTGAAAATCTAGATATTAGTATTTAGGGGGATTACCCAATCGGTCTGTGTAACGAAATGGCTGCCAGGCAGAGGCAGCAGTGTATTTTAAAATGGATGCCAGCCTGGTATTTCTTTGAAGGGGGGAGGTACTCCATAGGGAACAATGGAGCTGCCATACCTCCCTGCCTACAGTTTCCAGACGCTTTAGGGAAAAGAGCAGGAAAAGATGGACACACCCCAGGGGCGGAGCCGGGGAGATAAAGGCTTTGGCTCTTGAGGGAGGAGTTCAGTCTCAGCCTAGTCTGGCCTTCAGCTCAGCTTGGATGGCAGCTTCAAGGGAGCGTACAGGTGGGGGCTCCTGTTACCACAGACTCCGGGGCATCCAGGCCACTATAAACCGTGGTGGACAGCCAGGAGGGTAACAGTATAAGTCACCAGTCCCGAGGAGGGCTGGGGTTTCTCCACAACAACAGGAGGGGGAAAGTAAATCCCATCCTGAGGCCCACAACCTCCAGAGATAGAGAAGGTGTGTGTAGGGGACAGAGGAATGGTGTTTTAAATCGTGTTTATTTTCTGTGCCCAGGTTGTGTTGATGTGCATTGTTTAAGTTCTGTGCCTAATATGTATATAATTCAAATAAACCTTTTTTGAGTTTAGGACCTGGTGTGCCTTGACCACTTAGTCCTCCCCACTTGGCACATTACCAGAAGCAAAAGGGAGGCCAGGGAATCCAAACATGCCCAAATCAGAGGGGTTGCCAACTCTCCAGGGGGCACCCAAAGATTGTGGTACCAACTTCCCAAGGTTGGGGAATCAGCCAGAGGGGTCTCACTGTCCCTCTAGGAAGGGGGTGTGAATCCAGTGAGTGGTGGCAGTGTGTAACGAAGGGAAATAGCCCCACCAGGAAGGTTGGGCAGGCAAAAACGGGCCTGCGAGCCACAGAACGGCTGTTCAGTCTCCCAGGGCTGAGGGTGGGTCCCCATTTCGCCACAGTCTGCATACGTGTTATACCAACTTGATTACATATTTTATATTTTTATATACTTCCTATAACTCTGCCATATGATAAATAAACAACCACCGCTATTTTTTTCCAAACTTGCACCTCAGGACACAATATCTTGGTTGCTGCTTGTGTATAACACTGCCCAGATGGGGGACATTCCCTAAAAGTCAAACCAGCAGCTCCTAAGAGTGAGAAGCAGAAGGAGAGAGGGTTTCTTTCTTATGCTTAGGCTACCCTAGTGTGAAATTGGGATTACAGTGGACAATGGAGCCCGTTAACATAGACATGCATCTATGGGAAATGCTTATCTCAGTCTACACACAGTAGCATGGACCAAGTTTCATCACATCTGACCTGTAGTTGCAAGGTTCTTAAAGAGCTCTGTTAGAGCCCTCTGTTTCTGGACAAGTAAATGCTTGACCTCTGACTTCTGTTTTTCCTTGTCAGCAAGCAGACTGACAGACGTGTTTTGCAACTCGTGGGCAGAGGCTATTATGTCACCTGTAAAAAGAGCAATAGAAAGAACTAATTTAGCAGCAATTTCAACAATATAATTTTAATTCACCAGTCTGCCCTCCCCAGAACTCACCACAACATTGAGAAGTCTATCCATTTAGAAAAGAGGGGGAAAAGAGTTCAGATCCATTACAATATCCCCACAGTGCCTACCTGTGAACTGGTCAAGGTTTTCCACCAGATCCAAAAACGTGTTGTTCTTCACAAAGGTTGTGCATATCTTTGCCATCCGTTTTGTAAGCTTAGGCAGGCGTGCTTGAAGGGATTCAGGATGAAACACATCTCCTTGGATTCCTTCTAAATGAGCAGCCTGGGAAAATTTTCACAACAGCAAAAGCAATATGGCTTAAATCAGAGTGCTGCATTATCACCCATGGGTCCATCAGTATTTATTAGTTACAGTAGTAAAGAATGGAGATTAAGATAAGGAGGACGCGTATTTTCACCATGTTCCATTAATCAGTTTTCAAACGTATCAGGGTGACAAATGTAGGGACACATATACCAATGGCTTCATACTGCATACAAAATTCCCATAGTACTAATTCAAACAAACATACCAGAGACTAAAACTACTTTCCATGAACAGAAAGTTTGAGGTACAGGAGAACAGTCAAACATGCAGCCATTAGACTCTACATAATTTTACATTACAGGAGGACAAAACAGGGGATAACGATTATGCTCCTGTTGCTATCCTGCCACAACCACAAACATTTTACAGTAGTTTCCACAGTGTAAGACTGATAAAAAATGGGGTGGGGAAATTCCCTGCAAACAGGAATTCAGCACTCCACTTAAAAATAGCTAACACTTCACCAAAATGCAATTGAGAACTTTATATACCTGAACAGCATCTATTGTAGAGGCCAGTTTTTTCCTTAATATGTTGTGCAGGCTCTGAATTTTAGTCTCCTGGTTGTCAGATGACCCCTGCTTCTGCAAAGAAAGTAGTTGCTCATCTTTGAACGTCTCTATTAAGGCTGACTGACATGGTTCATTGAGAGCAGCTTCAAATTTCTTCATAAATTTAAAAAGTGTCCTAGTCACAATGAAAAGAAACAGATGAAAAGGAACGTCACAACAACATGGTAAAAGGAGAGCAAGGGACTGAAATAGTTCATCCTAGCTCATCACCCAGTTTGAAATGTACAGAAAACAAATAAAATTGAACTCCAGTGTCACTCGTCTAGCAATATTTATTCCACCATGAGCTTTCATGAATCAGAGCACACTTCCTCAAATGCAATTACAAGAATGTCATTTTGACATATATCAATCAGCAATTGGTGGGTATAATTTACAACAGGGTTATGTGACATTTGTCCATGAAGTAAAATGGCTACTGTTAACAGTCTAACATGTTAGAAACAAGAAAGCTATTCAGACAAAGACAATTGTCATTTACTTTGAGAATATTACGTTAGGAGCTGAAATTACTATAACTATGCACTCCCATAAGTAAATACTGGAAAACAGAACACTAGTACTTGGTTTGAAGGTTACAGGTTATGCAGAGCTGAGTTTGGATGGAGCCTTAGATAGGGCTATGATGACCTTATGGAGATCCCAAGATGGATAGCCTAGGAATAGGTGGAATATGAAGCCAAGAAGCTCATCTTAATTTATTTATTTTATTAAATTCAACTTTTAGGCTGCCTTATGTGTGAATGTGAAAAGAGAGATGTTGTGCCCTAAAAATGAAGGACAGTAGACATAGCTGCAGAACCTGATCCTCATGAGATTTCTGGCAAAAAGAGGTGCTGGCCAAAACATATATGGTATGTTTGGAGGCCACTCCTAGGAGACAGCACTGGCCACTTCTGGTCCCCTAGACAGAAAATGGGAACTGAACCTCTGAACTTTGTTGCTGGGTAGAGATGCAAAGTGATCCAGAGAGGAAGTGCCAATCTTTCCCCACTTTGCTTCAAACACTTAAAGGTTGAGGACCCATTCTGGTGTGTCAAGATCTTGCAAATTTTGCTAGTTTGCTTTGCATTTGAGAATTCTCTGAATGTGCAGAATCTTCATAGGTGTCAGAACCAATCGGCAAAAGCACTTATAAGAAGAGGAAGAGATGAGACAGGAGAGATGAGAACAATAAGCTGCCAAAAGTCCCAGAGATGAAAAAACAGAAACAGAAATGAGATGACACTAGAAGTTCCTAGAATGCTGCAGAAAAGAACATCTACCGGAGTAGACAGGACTGGAGGTGGGAGGTCCCTATTCCCACAAGCATGAACCCTCAAGCTCATTTACGTGGTCTGCTTGTGGAGTAAGCAGATAAATAACCCAACCCAGATTCCCTTCTCCACTGACAGAAAAACTCGCAAGACACAGAATTTCATTCCTGGGGTATCTGCACGAGCACTTCCTTAAGACAGTGGGATTTAAGGAAAAAGCCAACAGGAGAGGCAAGAGCGAAGAATGGCATCAAACTTAAAAAAGGCTCTCAAGTTGCATGTTTTTTTTTACAAATGACTGACTTAAATGCCCAGAATGTCCAAAATTGCTAACAGCATGAAAATATCAGAGAGCTTACCTGTGAGCCTTCTCCACAGACTGTTTTACAGCCCAAAAGCTGACATCATTCCATTTTGAGATTTTCACAAACTCCTGTAAGTAAAACAAAGTCAGTGAATGGCGATGTCCATTAAATCAAACGATATACACCACCAATTTCAGAAACCAGTATAATACTTCGAGCATGACATCATGCTTCAGCTTGATCTCCTACAGCTACAGACTAGGAGTAAGTCTTCACACCCAGCATCACTGTTCTTACCTTCAGTTCTTTCTCGATAGGCTGCCGGAGTTCAGTCAGCTTAGTTTGCACGCATTCTGAGAACTGCTTATAGTAATGATACAGATTCCACAGTACATTGCGCAGTGTATCTGAAATAAGTAAAAAATCCCAAATTTAATTTAAAATTCTTTTCTTCTTCAACACTAGAGGGACCAGCTAGGGAACATAAAAAGTAGATCCCCTTTTTATCAAGTACTCTACTCCTCCCCAACATTTTGACAGTCTTTCAGCAGGGCGACTGAACATCTAAACATGTTCACTTTGTCTGTAGTGCTATGCTAACTTCCAGAAGCTGATGTATTATGCAAAAGGAAGCAAACCTATGAATTTAAGAACTGAATAGATGGAAAACAAAAGCAGATGAGCTCTGAATCACTTTGCCTGTTCTATGTTAGGAAGCTTAAATCACAGTTTAGGTTCAAAAATTTGGTTAGCGCAAGTCATGGCTTCACATGCCTAAACTGAGCCAGCTTGCAGTACTGTGATGAGCTCATGCACAAAAGAACTGTATTTGGCAGCAAAATCTAGCCTAAAATGTGGTCTAATTTCATGTAGAACTGGAAAGACAGTTCTACACTTAAGTATGTCTGAGTGACTTCACGTTACACCGTATGATAAGGGGGTGGGGCTTATTTATCCAGCATTCCTGAGTAATGTAACTATATTAACTGCCATAGCAGGTAATGTATCCCCCAAATGTGAGTAGTTAGCTGCTGGACCGCATGAGGCTTGCATACAACTACCCAGCTCTGTTCAACTAGACTGGAAGAGTACTAGCTAATCCAAAATAAGTACCTACCATTACCTTCCACCTGTGGCATCAACAAGACGTGACAGTGGAATTCCAGGAGCATTTGGAGTCGTGTATGGAATTCTCCCAGGGTGGATCCTTCTATGAAAGCCTCCAGTGTACTGACCACTGCTGTCAAATTCATTTCTATTCATTTTGAGATGTTGCCGTTTTAAGTATGTAAAGGGGCAGAAGAAGAGACATAATAATTAATTTGTCTTTAAAAAGGGAAGGGGAGAAAAGAAAAAGATGTAGCAGTGAGAAAAGCAGTCAAGGTCCCAAAAGAAAAAGGTTGAATGGCTACAATGGGGAGTGCAGCCTTTGCTCCTGAGAAAATATTTACCCTACAAACTTTTAGTATTGATATCATGTTAATACCCTTCTGCTTACAATTAAGCAATTTGCATCTAGTAATTGGAATGTGCACTCACTCACTCTCATCCCCTTCTCAGCTACGAAGAAATTGTCCATTTCTGTCTTCACTGTAGTTAAGGGAACTGTTTGCATAGGATTTAACTGTGGTTAATACTAACCAGGGCTTTTTGTCAGTCAGGATCTGATATCCCATTTAAAGAACCATCTCAGATAATGCTACCCATGGTTAAGAATGATGCCAATGGTTCCTTTAACCCTGGTTGATGGGAATTAGAGCAACAGGGAAGAAAGAATAAGCATCCCCAAGGTGATGCTTCCAGAATAGATTTATTGTTACGGTCATTGACCAGAACACAGTAATACACGTGATACACATTCCTACCTAAGCTTGAACATTTCAGTTTCGTTATACATAAATATAATATTTGTAAAATACATAAGTAAATCATGTATATAACCTAAAATATTAAGCAGTATAAACACCATCTCTAAAATATTAACTAGTATGACTTACATCCGTATTTTCCTTAGCTTAATTACCAGCCAACCATACTTAGCAATTTTAAAGGTGACATCTCTGTTTCTGTCAGTGAGCATTTTCTTGAGATGACTTTTTTGATCTTTCCCTGGGAAGCTGGAAATTACTGCTGCTACAAGGACTCCCAAATCAGCTTACAGATTTTACAATCAAAAATTACATGGCTTAATGTCTCGAGACTTACATCCCCAAATGGACATAAGCATTCTTTTAAAGAATATTTGCCTTCCAGTACTGCAGTAGTCAGGGCATCATATCTTAACCAAGTGAAAGCCCTCCTATAATTGGGATTCTCTTAACTGTTGACATAAGGCATCAATAAAGGCCTATTTAGAGTGTTCAAATCAATTATATCACTCTTCACTCTGTTCAGATCGTGTTGTCTTTCAATATCTAGAATCCTTTGTTTTACCACTGACTTCGTTTGATCCAGCTGTATAAACAATAGATACTGTTCTGATAGTCCATAATAGCCTAGTTTCTTCCTCAATATAATGAGCCATGGCAGAGTAAAATTATCTTTTAAAATTAAATGAGCAATCCTATACTCATTGTAGGCTAGTTTCAACCAGTATCTAAAGACTGCTATCCACATCCTAGCTTCTACCGTCACCATTCCTGTCTCTATTCTAATTGCTGCATTTGATACATTGGGTGGAGTTTGAAAAACTGCCCTTAGGAATTTGGACTGGATCCTCTCCATTGATATCTTATCTATATATCTAATAGCCAAGTTGCCCCCTTTTGCGGATATCTAAATCCGCACATCGGGGGCACTTGGGGGGCAGGGAGATTTTCCTGCACACTTGGAGCAGTCCCCAGATGTGCAGAAAAATTTGAAAAGTTTAAAAACCAAATGGGGGATATTTAAACCCCCCCAAAAGTAAAAGAGTCCCCTGCGCATGCGCACTTAGCACTGGCAGCAGCAGCAGCAAACCTTTGGCGATCGGCGGCTGGGAGCCACAGTCCTTGCTGTGGTGGAGGGGAAGAAGCCTGGCGGGCCCAGCGGCAGGGATCCGCACAGGGCTCGTCATCGTTGCTGCTTAGGGGGGGAAGAGCCGCCTGTTCACCAGGCTTCTTCCCCCACCAAGCAGCAACGGCTTGCTAAGCCATGCATGTTGGCGGAGTGACAGTGTGTCTAATGGAGTTGATCTGTTGTTTAGAAATAGTACATATCTCGGATAGCGAAGCTGAAAGTGTGGTCCTGCACTCCTCTGGCACGGCATCAAGGACTGGATGAACAACAGTAGCAACACTGAAGGCATAAGCCAAGAGGTAGGACAGGTAAGTATTGATTCGAATGTTCATAGCAGCCACTGAATAGGTCTTCTTAGCTATACAGTCAATTTTACGACCCTCCCAGTCCGGAGAAATGGATTGTCTAGGCTGCTTCAACTTCGAGGAGGAATTAATTATCATCAAGTTCAGGGAAGGATGATTAAAAAGAAACTTCCCTGAGGACTCCTGGATCTTATAGATGGCATCATATCTCTTTGATAGTGGGAGCACCGAAGCAGGGCAGTCCCAGGACTCCTTCAGAGCCGAAAGGTGAACTGGGAGCAGTGGTAAGATCATTGATGGTGGCAAGTCAGCCTGAACTAACTTGTGAACTACATCCGTAACTGCCGGTGCATCTGTGGTGCCCTGTACTTGAAGGGCAGTGGCCATCCTCGTTATGAGTTCCAAGTAAGCCTTTGGACCCTCAGTAGGTGAAAGGGAACCCGTGCGAGGACCATCATCCTCAATCAAGATGACATCGGGGTCCAGGTCACCCAAGATGGAACGATCAGAGACCAAATCCAGAGATGGTGACTGAATATGCTGAGATGCGTCTACAGGTGGTTTGACATCAATAGGAGGACGGTACCGAGCTTCAGGGAGTCTGCCAAAGTCAATGCATCAGGGTGTTGATAGAGCACCAAGGAGTGCACCGACATCTGAAAACGAGCGTCTACTATGAGACTTGGTCGGGCGACAGGAATGGAGATCAGCATCCCGCAATGCTCTGTAGGGGTCACAACAAGGCATCACAGACCTCGAGTAGGAGAGATGACCATAGGACCTGCGATGTCTAGGGTCTGGGGGCCCAAGATCTGTAATGAGATCCCAATGGAGATCTGGACGGCGATCTATGGTAGTCGAACGTCCTGCGATCATAGTGTGATAGAGGTGATCAAGATTGACTTGTCATAAAGTGCTCCCTGTCATCCAAAGGTTGCATAGGCAGGTGGGAGTCATGAGACGCAGAAGGGCACCTAGAAGCTCTGTATGAGTCATGATGAGAGCCAGAGGACTTCATCATCGGTGACTTTGCATGCTGAGCCAGTGTAAGCTGGTCTGCTGGGGACGACAAGGTCGGTGTCAAAACCCGAGGATGGGGTTTCGATTTTTGAGGTGCAGTCGGAATTGAGGCGACTGTTGGTGTCAACATCGATAGACCCGAAATCACTACTAGATTGAGCTTCGGAGCAGCGCTCGATGTCGACGGTTTCGACTTCGGCGCTGAGGGGTCTTTGTCGATGTGTTTCTCAGATTTATGCTTTTTCAAGGATTTCTTGGCATCTCCTTGAGAGGAGGACTTCTGCAGCATGGAAGAGGACTGTGAGGCTGCTGAGGACATTGCCGGATGAAGTGCAGCTTCCACAAGTACAGTTCTTAAGCAAGCTGCTCTATTACAATGGGCCTGTTTAGTAAACTTAGCACAATGGGGGCAGGAATCTACATGATGAAGATCCCCAAATAAATTAAACTAAGGTCATGGCTGTTGTTAGAAGGGAGTTTTGTGGGGCATTGGCGACACACCTTAAAAAATAGTTTGCGGCCCATACAAGCACCTTTCCTAGAAGGGGGGGGGGAGGGCGGAAAAGTTGACAGAAAAGATAATTCTCTCTCTCTCTCTCTCTCTCTTTTAAGAAAGACAAATCGAAAGGGGGGAACGAAGCTCGAAGAGAAAGAACAGCAGAAAAAACGAAGGAAAAAACTCAGCTGAGGCAACTTGAAGAGGAATCGCTGGAGAGATGTGAACCTGAAGGCAGTCGAAGAAGAACTGAGTGGGAGGCAGCTCTCTCCTCCGCTCCAGGCATGCGCAGAGCATGTCTGCTCCCCAGGGCAGGAAGAGAGCCCGCCAGAAAAGACTTCTGAGGCAAGCTCTGGAACATTCTCCGATCGAGGTCGTGCACAGGTACCCAACGCATGTGTGGTACTGCACAGAGACCACGAAGAAGATCTAATAATAGCCAAAGGCAGACTCAAAGAGTTATGCTGTCTTTCAAGAGTTCAAGGATACCTTCCCAATTACTATCTCAAAAAAGAAAAGAAAAAAGCCTAGGTTACAAAGTGATTTTTCCACTCTGAGTATTTAAAAACTGTACGATAATGCCTCTCCTTCCTAAGAAGCCGCCTGTACCTCAAAAGCTGAGAAAAGTAGAAGACATCTCGACAAGGGATACTAGGATTATAATAGAAGGTCCTCAGCAAAATTTACAAGAAGATTTGATTAATTGGTCAGAACCTTCGCAAACCTCTCAACAGATAAATGAGGAGATTCCTTGATAATATATTGGAGGAAGACCTACTCAAATCTTATCCACTTTTACATCCAGTGGATCAACTAGTAATCACTAATAGACTAAAGCAATTAAGAGAGAAACTGTTAATGATTGGACAGGAGTCTTTAGCTAAAGAAGCCACAATACAAATGACACTACAGGAAAATGGAGTTGTCCAGGAATTACCTCTGGAAAATATAGATGGTGATGCTTCCAGTTTGTTAACCACAGTAAAACTAATAGTACACACTTACAATGACACAATGCAAAAGTAGCAACAGGAACAAAAAAAAAAGGCAAAAGGGAAGGGGGGGGGGAAGGCAAAACAAATATTAATCTACATCCCTGGCTCCATTATTCCAAAATACTGATGCTTTTTCTCTGGTACATCGAGGTGGCTTTCCACAGATTAAACTACCAAGATGATTTGCTATTGTCCTAATACTTACTGATCTGCATACATTTCAACAAGATTAGCAGTTTGTAAACTTTGCTTGTAAAGTACTTTGAGAGCTAATATGGAATGAAGTAACCTGTTCTATCAATATGCTTCACATCAAGAGAGGCATTAAAGTTTGGGTTTAACTGAGTATGTAGCACTGCTCTTTCAAAAGATGCTAACTCAGGCATACAATATGCTATGATGATGCAGATATTACGACATGCACATCCAGTTTCAGACAGAACTGTTTCATTGGCTTTGTGTGCTCCTCAACATGTCTCTCTTACGAGGACAGCAGTTTTTCTCTTACACAAATATTATTCAGTGGTACCCAGGAAGAGTTACCTTCAGTTTTCTTCTCTGTCTGTTCTTGCCAATATTTCTCTATGATCTGATAGACTGAAAGCCAGTGCTTCATTGATTTTTCTGTCTGATGCTGCATTGTGTTGTCAAGACTAGTAGACCAACAGCTGATAATACAAGGGGAAAAATTCAGACTGATCAGAACTTAGATCTGAAACACCATCCATACAGGATTGCATTTAAAATGTATTTAAATACATATATTGAGGAAGAAGACATTCTATAAATACAAATACAATACCTTTATTGGCATAAAAACTATTTCTATAAAAAGTACCCTGCATAAACAAAAACGTCAGTTCTACAAATGGAATGTCAAAAACTGTACACTAACGACTTAAAAATATGGTGCATACTGCATATGACTTAATATACATATTTTGTTACCATATTATAAATGAATCTTGAGCAGCATGAACTAAGGAAAGTACAAAGGGGTATAGAAGCCCCTATTAAGCAGCTTGTATAGCCCAGGCTAGCCTGACCTCATCAGATCTTGGAAGCAAAGCAGGGTTGGCCCTGGCTAGTATTTGGAATGGAGACTTCCTTCCCAGGAATACCAGGGTAACGACATGGAGGCAAGTGATGGCAAACCACCTCTGAATGTCTCTTGCCCTGAAAACCCTATGAGATCACCATAAATCAACTGTGACTCACGGCACTTTCTGCCACCAGAGGCAGGAAATGGATAGCCATGTTGGAAGGAAACAAGAAGATGCGCAATCCCATCCCCCTGACTACTGGGAACATCCTCTGCTTTCTGCACCTGCATCAGGTATTTTCATTCATCCCCCAACAATCAGCACTTATAAATACTCAAAGTAATGGAGAATTACTTCAGCTCTAGTTTATGCCACTGGATGATCAGCTGAGTGACCAAATCGAGATGCTTCCTCAGAGACACTGCTCGACTAGCAGATTCCTCCCAATCCTAAAAAAGGAAGGAATGCTCATCAGACAAAAACTGCAAAGCAATGAACTGCAAAGCAATATACATTACATTACTATTATCAAGTAGCTTTGTTCTACATTTTAATGTTCCACAGTTTGAGACGTCACCAGAATTCCCAAATTAGTCAGCTTTCATGTGCAGATTTGCTACTCGCTGGTGAACTACAGAAAGTTTGGGAAATCAACTCTGGACTAAGCATGGACAGATACATAAAAAACCCCAACAACCCCCATTTCTAACCTGAGACTTGGTAAGCAGAATTTCTAAGCCATTCAGGAACTTTGAGAGGGGGCTGGAGAGTGGAAAGCTACGGATTCTGTCCATCACAACCAAGAGCTGCAAAATGAAACATTTTTGTTGTAACTTTTAAAGGTTTTGACTTAAAATCCACACATATAATAATGGAACAAGTGATTTAAAAAACAGGAATAGAGAACACAGTCTACTTATAACAGGTGAATCTGTACAAGAGAGTTTCTACTTGCAAAATGCAGACAGACACAAAGAGATTTAGGAAATTAGTCCTCTATTTGGCTTCCTGGAAAGTTAACAAGCCAAAGTCTTAGCATTCAGATCGTATATATGTAGGGATCGTGTATAAAAATAAATATTATACTTTAACCAACATTCACCATGCACTAGTGATGCATACTTGCAAGTCTGGTTTATGTATCTCAAAGTTTAGACTGCATCTACTTCTTACCTGCACAAGTGCAGGGTGATCAGGCCATTCTTGCAGCAGTGCCTTTACTTCTTTAGCAAAGTTTTCAAGCACAGGTTGGCACAGTTGAACTTGCTGAACATTAGGGTGCTGATAGAAGTCATATGGCTCTTTAAGCTGCAGGCCAAGTTCGGAAGTTTCTCCTTCAAAAAGTGTATTTTGCAGTATTGTGCTAGCAAGCAGCTGGCAGCCTTGTAGATTGTCATTTATTTCAGAACCTAAGATTTTTGGGGGAAACAGGGAAATAAAATATGCAGAACTCAGGCACGTGTATTCCTCAACATTGTGCATCCTAACTTAGAGCACTGCTGATGAAATGATGAACTATAATCAGTATCTAGTACTTATCCTGATTTTGCAGTCTGTCTGAACGTGAAGGAAGTTTTGTCCCAAGGCCTCTGGTGCCAACACAATGAGGCTAGGACATCCAAGAAACATAAAATCTGGCAGCCAATCCATGTGAAGTTTAGGAACACATAGCTAACAGCCCTTTAATCAAAGCTTGTGTGTCCCCTCCGCACACCTTTGCCTGGCTATGGGTGGCTGGGGTTTAAAGAATCCATAGGAGAGGTCAGAGTGAGAGACTTCAGTTCAGTGGGCAGTTGGCTCAGAGTCTCCACTCCCATTCACCATACAAGCTACCTTTAACTGCACCCCTGGTCTTCAGTTTTCCTTCCTTCCCTGTCCCTGGCAGTCTCAACCCAGGAAAACTATGGCTCAGCTGGACAGCAGGGAACCCACAATGGAGGGCTCATTTCCCCTGTATTCCCCTCCCTACACTATTTCCTCTTTCCCTTCTCCTAGCAAATCCTTACATCTTCACCTAGGTCTTAATGAGTCTCCATCAGAGGCCAAAAGAGCCTGGGAAAGAGCCCTGTACCCTCCCCCTATGTTTTACTGATAGAAACCAAGGCTTGAAAGCTGGCAATACCGCATGGTTGCCTAGCAACAGCCACTGAGGACATTGTTAAAGCTACAGATGCTTCTTTCATTATTTAGGGGTTTTTTTAGACCCCCAATTTTTAATATTTTTAAAGATTTCAGATTTTTCTGCAAATCTGGGGTTTTTTCAGGTTTCTAGAAAGGTCTTCTCTACTCATGGCTCCAGTCTCTGGATTTAACTGTCCACAGATTTAGCCATGATAAGATTGAAATATACTGGTATAGGAAAACATTTTAAAAACAAATATATTTCAATGATGTCAAATCATGTACTGAAACCTACTTGATTTAAGTGTGACCACCATGAACAGATGACTCAAAATGGGACTCCTAGTAGGTTTTTCATTCTCTGTGAAATTCCCCCTGCCCCACTACCTTTTGTAGTACTCTATAAATACAATTAACTGGAACCAAAGAAAGATATGTTCATTCTTTAAAAGGACAGAAAACAGGAGGGTACCTTACTGATACCAAAAACAGACAAGAAATAAACATGTCATATTTGTGCAAGATGACAGGATTCTGAGAATAAGCTATGAAGGGGTCTCAAGCCAATAAACACATCTGTAATAGACTATAACAAGAAGAAATAAAGTAAGGACTTTTTCCTGGGGTGTGGCCAAGAACTAAACCACCATTAAAAAAGAGTTTTCTAGACTATGATCCTGGAACCCTTGAGACGTTTTGGAAGCTTAAGAGTGCACAGTGGCCGAAGAACATTTTGTCCAACGCACTGGAAGTACAGGGGAATGCTGGACATGTTTCTCAAGAACATCCTCTGTTCATGTGAGCAATAGTGACACTTCTGAGAAACACAGCATGCCTTAAAATATACTTCAGAAACTTCTGCAATATGCAAGAGGTTTCATGGCAGACGTCAATGTACAAGCTGAAGGCAGAGTTTGAAAACTACTGAAGCAAAGAACACTTCAAGACAAAAGTCTTACCAATCAAAGGATAAAAATGGGCCACCAGTGATGAGCCAGTTTGGTAACAGGAAATAAATGTAGTCAAGTGATATTTAGTCTGATTAGAGGGCATGTTTTGCTGATACCACAGAGAGCGAGCAAAGTAAAGGCAAAGCTGCTGATGAACTTCCATTACGGTTTTCAATGAATGATGTGAGAGGAGGAGTGTTTCAAAGGCAGCTTCATTTTCTAAACCATCTTCAGTTTCCATTTCTTCCTCAAGGCTTGCCTGATTTGTAATATCTTTAAAATCCTATAAATCAGAGAGAGAGATAATTAACTAACCAGTTAAACCAGTTATCCCTCAGCCTTCATTAGCCACTCCCTTCCAGTGGTGAATAAATTAACAAAAATACTAAACAAGTAGCATAAAATCACTGTTAGAACCATTGTATATATTTTTTTAAAATCACTTTGGGAAGGGACGTTTGTTTTAATGGTTTTATAATGTAATTTGACCATGTTTATTTTAAACTGTAAAGACAGAAAGTTGGGATATAAATTTTGTAAATACAAAAACAAATAAATAACATTGCAGCAACAGGCCATAAATAAAATAGAAACACAGATAAGGCACAATAGAACAGATAAATAACATAATTGCAATACATAAAATCCCACCACAAAACAGCTAAAAGCAACTTACCTGCAGAACCTGAAGTTATAAACTGCCTCAAAAGCCATTTATCAGACTAAAAACAATTTAAATATGTTTTGCACCAAAAGGAAGTTCTAACAACAACATGCCACCACAGAAAACTCCCAGCCTCTGGAGTAACCAAGTCACTTCAGAAAGTTTGTGTGGGAGGTACACAGAGCAGGGCCTCGGAAGACAACCATTTCTGTTTCTTTAATTAGCGTCCGATATCTCAACAGATTTTTCACAACACGTGCAGATTGCTTTTTCAATCTTTACATCTTTACAGTATATGCCCAGAATTATCTTGTGAGCTCAGCTGCACATGTGTCAGATGGGGCTCTCTCTTTCATATGAGAGAGAGGGAGAAGGAGAGAGAGGTTGCTGAAGAACATCTACTACCTTCATGGTAGATCACACATCTGACTTCTAAATCTCCAAAACTTTACCTGGACACGTTGTCGGTAAATTAATACTCCCTTCTTGTTTCTTCCCTCCCTTAAATCGCATCTCAGACTAGTTATTTTCATCTGTAATTCTTCAAGAAATAACTTCATAAAAATTTTAAACGTCAGTAGTAGTCTACCTTCTCATGAAGAGGAAATTTGTTTCTGAACTCCCTCTCTTCTTCCTCCTCTTCACTCAGGCCACTTCCATGGCTTTTAGCCTTGTATCTATACAGACTGTTTTTCTGTTCCTCCTCTTCCTGGGCAAGACGCTCTTGTTCATCCCATTCATTTATAATTACCTAAAAAAACAAACCACCAAAAAGACTCTTCAGAGAAATCATAATACATTTGCATATATAAACTCCATGTCTGGTATTGGTATTAAGAATATGTGAGCCTGAATTGTGAACATTTAAGTTGCATACAGCTGAATTACATTTTCGCCTAAGCTAAAGTTTAAGCTGTACACAATGTGGCAAATGATGAAGAAGAAAAATGAGATAACTACAGGGGAAGAAGAAAACTAGTCTCCCTTCAAGGGCTCCAAATACAAGAGGAGGACATGCACAGAGAGTTCTCTTGGGAAGAGAAATCCCCCCCACTGGTCTCTCCACCCTCCAGCTGCTTCCAGCTTTCCTTGCTGGTACCTCCTTCCTTACACCTCTTTTCACTACTTTCACTCCCCAAAATTTCCCTCTGCTGCTATTTCAGCAGTTTATTTGCAGCTGAAACAATGCAGTGTGATGAGATTTCATTTTTTCTTCAAACAGCAATGTCATCACGTGAGCTATTTAAAAAAAATCTTTCACCTTTGTTCATATTCCAATTTTTCTACAAACTTGGGGGTTAGCTGGGTTTGTTAAAAAACAACAACGAATACAACTATCATCTGGTGGCACCTCCTATAGCTCTTTCTGATGCACATGGGATAGCCTGTGTTTAGGATCATACAATGAAACTAGTTTAAATGTATTTATTTATTTAATGTAATTTATACCCCGCCCTCCCCGCCAAGGCAGGCTCAGGACAGCTTACAGGAGAAGTAAATACATAAATAATAGTTGAATTTACCATAAAATCATCTAAAAACAGTTCATTATAAAACAATTCAATATCATAAAGTGCTAGCAGTATCTATTTTAGTACAATTGCTTAATGATGGCGGTACCGTATGAGTGCATTCAATAATCTATCTAGATATTCAGCTCATTGACCTTCCCTGATACCATTGGCAAGCACAGGCTGTGGGTGGCAAAACCGGGGAGCCAGGGCTCTATGAGTTTCAGTTGTTGTTGGTGGTGGTGGCGGCTCCTTCGTTGAAGGCCTGAAAGAAGAGCTCTGTCTCACAGGCCCTACGGAACTGTAGGAGGTACCACAGGGCCCTGATCTCTTCTGGAAGTTCATTCAACCAATGTGGAGCCACCACTGAGAAGGCCCTGGCACTGGTTGTGGCCAGCTTGGTGTCCTTGGGACCCCGGAGGGCCAGTCGGTTTTGAGACCCTGACTGTAGTGCTCTCTGGGGTACATATGGTCAGGTATGTTGGACCCTGACCATAAAGGGCTTTGAAGTTAAGAACCAGCACCCTGAAGCAAACTTGGTATGCTATCGGCAGCCAGCACAATGCCTTCAGCACAGGCTGGATGTGCTCCTGCAGTCCAGATCTTCCAGTCTGGAGTCATACCGGCCACCCAACAACAGATAGAGCTGGGTGTCACCCACATACCGGTAACATCCAAGCCCATGCCTCCGGGCAATGTGGACAAGGGGGCGCATATAGATGTTAAAAAGCATCAGGGAAAGCACCACTCCTTGAGGCACTCCACAATCCAGTGGGTGTCTTTGGGACATCTGTTCCCCTAGTGTCACCCTTTGTCCCCGACCTTGGAGAAAGGAGGCAAGCCACTGCAAGGCAAGCCCCTATGTCAACGAGGTGGTGGGTCAGTAACTGATGGTGTCCAACCTGCCGACAGGTCCAACAACAGTACTGCCGCTCTGCCCCAATCCAGATGCCTCTGGAGGTCACCTGTGAGGGCGACCCATCCCGTCTCCGTCCGATGACCTGGGCGAAAACTGGACTGGCAGGGGTCTAAGATGGAAGCATCATCCAAAAAGCTCTGTAGACACTTTACCTGACACAGATGTCTAAAAAGTTGCAGAGATTTATGGTCCAGTTCTCCTTTTGACAGCACATGGCACCGCAGGTACAACAAAGCATTCACCAGCAACTGCTCTTGGGTAAGGCACATCCTCTGCTCCCTGTCTGAATCTTCAACAGAGTACTTCTGAGATAGCCTCTGAAGGCCGCGAAGAACATCTAGGGAGTTCACAGAGCACAAAGCATCGGCATGGGAAAGGTAAGTGGGGAAGGCGCCTCCAACAGAAGGAAACGACAGTAGAGAAGCAACAAGGGTGCCAAGCTTGTTTGGGCAGACAAAACTGTTCAGTGTTGTTTTATGGACTTCAGAAGCCACAAGTCTCAGGCCATGCTGCATTTGCAAGACGGCAGCCTGCAGTGGAGTAACTACGTCCGGGAAAGCAGTGTAGTCCTCTGTCAAATGTTTTCTGAATTGATGGTGTGACTGCTGCCAGGCTGCTTCTTCACTGAGCACTTTCTGAACTGCCTGGACTGACTGAGATTTATCCCCATGGAGAAATTGTAGAAGGCGAGCCAAGAGATCCTGCACTTTTGAAATCTGAGCAATGCTGCTGACATACTGATGAAGCTCCTGGTATAAGCAGTCATATGAAGGGCTTTGGGGCCTAAAGGCTTGTTTTTGGCCAAGGCTTGCAATCTGATTCTTTAATTTCTGGATTCTTTGGCGTAACATCCTGAGAGAGAATAAGAGGCATAATTTTAAAAGCCAGATAAATCAATTATGGTTAAAACTACCACTGGAGTCACCTCTGAAGCACACAAATTATCTTTCTTTCATAATAAGAACCCTACTAATATTTGTATTTCACTTTTTATGGCATCAAGAATTTGGCTCTCTTGATTCAAAGAGGTATCAGACAGGCATCAATGGCTAAAGCAACCTGTTTAGTTTACAGACTTTTTAAGCAGGTCACCAAATTTCCCATTTACCACTGAAACAGGACTAGAAACTTCTGAGGGCCCACATTTGAACAGGAAATTAGTCCCAGGGCCAAGAGGGATATATTTGGGGCTGTAATCACCGCCTTGTCAAACCTGGAAACAACACAACAACATTCCAGAGCCCTCTTAATCCACAGCGAACCCCAGTATTACCTAATATGTGGGTGACTATGTCTGTTGATTGTTTCATCTTCAAGATCTTTTCCTGTGAGCAGCTGAGTGGATAGATTGTGTGTCTTCCATTCACATTCTAGACGGTGCAACTGAAACCAGTAAACAAAAATGTGCCAGTTTAACTCAAAGCAATAGTCCTGCCATCACTGAGGTGTGGCAGCTTTTTCTTCTCTACTAATAATCTTCAAACAGTTCAGATTTAGGCTAACCTAAACTGCGGTTATTAGTCAGGATAATTGGATGGAATCTCCAAGCCTAGAAGCAGTGCTCTTATGAATACCAGAAACTAGAGACAAAACCACAGGGGAGAGCTGATACCTTCCATGTGGTGCCTCCTTGTAAGCCTTCCCAAGAGCATATGGGTTGACTGCTACTCAAAACTTAATACTAAATTGAATAAGTGCTAGGTATGATCCAGAAGGACTGTTCTAAAACAATGGGGGAGGGAGGATGGGAACAGCCTGTGCTTTCACAGCAATACATAGTTCAAAGTGTCCTCATTATCTGTTCAGGAAGATTAGTAAATTCTTGTATCCTTGTTTAATGAAAATGTTTTGGGTGTTAATACTACATCTTATTATTCATGTTCATTTTGCTTCAGAGGTAGCAAACTTCTAATAAGTCTTAATGCACATCTGTTCATATAACCAGTTACTCTTTAACAGCCGCTTCATAGTAAAAATGTTAACGTTATTTATAAAACACCTATTAATTACAAGGCTAGGAAGTCCACTGCAGCTCTATCTGCATACCTCTTCTGCTGCATACTTGAGTTTGTATTCTCTTTTTACTGCAGGATCAAAACGAGTCTGCGGAAGCCAGATGTGGATCTGCAGAAGCCCTAGATTCACCCAGAGACTGCCACGCTGCACAGCTTCAGGCAAGTTCTGAGGTCCTCCTTCCTGCCCAAAGAACTGTTGCAGACAAGTCATCCAAAGACACAGAACTTCTTCCGGTAATATGTCCTGAGCGGCAACTTCCTTGAGTACTGTGAAAATGGACTGCAAAGCCATTGGGTCCTTGGAAGAAAGCTTTTCACAGCTTTTGAGGTACTCGTCTTGTAGTTGTACTGGAACCAGGTTTTTAAGAGCCATAAGTTGTTTGTCTAATATAGCAAGCTGGAACCTGGAATCAGTAAACCTGTTAAGAAAAACAGAGAGGATTTCAACTAAGTATAAAGTAGGTATCAGCAACTGGAGGCCCCTGAGCCAAACTCAGCTGCCTCAGCAATACAGTAACAGCTAACCCTACTCTGGCCAACACTGAGGTAAGAGAAACAGGTGGAGAAAACAGCAGTCGTAGCAAGGGAATTTGCCAACAACCCACCACCCTCCTTTTCATTAAGACTAGCTGTTAACTAGGGATATGAAGCCTCTATATTTTTTTCTGGTTTCAGAAGACAGGAGCAGGAGAGCAATTGTTGCTTGCCAATACCTAAATTCTGCCATGGAGGAAAAGGCCAAGTTGTTCCACAGAACTGCACGGACTTCCTGAAGCTGCTGTGCTCTCTCCATCCATTCCCCCAGTGTCACATTGGAGGCCAACAGAAGAGGAAGGCCAGTCACGTCCCACTGGCTCCACTGGCTGCTGCTAGTCAGAATTTCAGAGAGGCACTTGGAGAAAACAGCTCGACTTAAAATGCCCACACCCTAAATTAGGAAAGATCAAAATGTGAGTTCCAGCACTGATAAGTGTTTCCACTTTTTTTAAAAAAGTATAAACATTGACCTTAAACAGCTGGACATTTTAGAGATCACCAAAACCTCCAAATAACCTGAATGTAATTTAAGTATAATGAACTGCACTGAGGAAGGAACTTCTATATCCAACATTTCTCATACTTAAATACCTGTTTAATTAAACATTCCAATCTGAGCACTCAAATCAGCAACTTCATGCCTGACAGACAGAAGAGGGTATGCCTCATCTTCACAATGTCATCAGGTACAGCTCCAAGATATTTTTCCCCATTGACTCCCAACAAGAGAGTCTAGATATGTATTGACAGTTTGCTGACCTCATACAATTCATACCAATACCAAATTTTGAGTTTTCAGATAATGATGCATTTTTGGACAGGAAATGGGGGGTGGGTGAGATAATAGTATGACTACTGGAGACTGCAACCAGTGAATAACAATCAGACTTCAGTCATAAGGGCTTGAACCCTTAAAAAAAAAATAAACTTGCACTTTTCCAGATGTCAGATTATTCAGTAATACTCAACAGTCATTCCAAGTCATCCAGACTGCAGGATGACTTGGCACAAAACAGTCAGGAACAACAAGCTATGACTTTACCTCAATAACTGAAAACCACCTTCTGATTAATGGGGCAGTTCAACAGCACTTCAGTTAAAATTATCTTAGAAGACCACGTTGAATCTATATTTTAGGCTCACACAAGGCTTTCTTGGATTCAGCTCTAAGAGCTAATTAACATTCCATGCAAGACTGTGATCTCCTTTAAACATGTAAGCTAATTCATGTTTAACCATCACATATAAAAGTGCCATTTTTTTACCACAGTCTAGACTAGCCTTATATGTGCAGGTTTTACCACACCACCTTAAGAGAACAGTCCATGAGGGATTTGGGCTTCTTTTTCTCTTCCACCGATACTGGCTTCCAGGCTAGCCAGTGCTCTGGATCTGTGGATACGGTAGTGTTCCAGAACGATGCTAAAGCAGCATTCACCAGCTCTGACCACAAGAGAGAAATTTCATCTGTGGAGACCTATAATGCAAGAAAAAGAAGAAAGTATAGAAGAGTCAAGTCAAGGTATCCAAAAATGATCTGCAACAAACACCAACATGCTCCAATAAAAGCATGTGTAATTTTTTAACCTGATTTTTAAATGCAAGATGTTATCTCTGTATTCACCAATACACACCTTTAATTTACTTTTTGTTTTCCCAGTATAAATTTTATTGCATTTGCACTTGATTAAGCACACCACATAATCTGAATTGCATGTTGTAAAATAGTTTAAAGTGTACTGCTACCAGTGTTCCCTCTAAGCTGAGTTAGTGTGAGCTAGCTCACAGTTTTTTAGCCTCCAGCTCACACATTTCTGTTTCAGCTCAGAAAGGATGGTCCCAGAGCAAACTAATTTATGCAGCAGCCAAATTGCTCGTTCACAAATTTTATGCCAGTAGCTCACAAAGTAGAATTTTTGCTCACAAGACACCACAGCTTAGAGGGAACATTGACTGCTACGGCTTATTATTATGTGGATTAATAAAGTTCTTCATAGTACTAGTACATTTACAATAGGCACAATTGTTACATGGGAAATGGCCAGATGGGAAGTTTGATCCTGGCAAAATTTTCTGTAGTATGGCTGGTTGGGCTGTGCTACTGTGTATCAATTTCTCTCTTAAACTGCCAGTTCTCTTAAAAGCAATAGCTGGTTTTTATTACAAGATGGTATATCAGATAATATCTTCCAAATCCTAAATATGCTCTTTTTCAGTTCAACATTAGTATTGCTGAAAGTTAGACTGAAAGTCAGTCTGAATAATTTCTCTTCCCCCCCTTCCTAAGCAGCATCATCCTCTGGCAATGCATGACCTTGAAATAAGCATGTTGCAACGTTGTCTCAGGATATCTTCTCATTACCAGGTTTCATCTAAGATGCAGCTTCTCTTTGGAAGCCGTGTATCGTAGAACAGTTCCTCTTAATTCTAAGAAATTGGATATATGGCAGATTGTTCTTTATATAAGCAGGTTGATGACTCTCAAAGCTTAAAAGGAAGCTCTTATCTGTTGGGTTTTTTTGTATAGGGTAGTTGTTAATTTGTTCCCTTTCTTAATAACTTTGCTGTCCCGAAAATTAATTTCTTGATCATCTGCATGTAATTCAAAATATAAATTCTTATCCTGTGCATTGAGCCATCTTTGAAAAGCTAGAAGTTGGTCAAGATTCCACAGAAGAAAAATGTCATCTATATACCGCCACCATGTTAGTATATAAGTACAATGAGGATTCTCAGTAGTAAATACAAAATATTCCTTAAAGAAGCCCATACACAGATCTGCTGCTTCAGGTACCACGGATGACCTATGGCAATACCCTTGACCTACTAACAGAATTTCCCGTTAAATGCAACAAATATATATTCTTAAGGGCAATTTCAGAAAGTGCTACTAGGAAGGAAGTAGGGGGACACTCATTCTCTCTCTTATGGAATGTGTTCTCTATTACAGATAGAACCCTCTCTTATGGGATGTTTGTCTATAGAGAGACCACATCCAGTATTGGTAGTAGGATGACATCACCCTCAGGGGAAATTTTTTCTAACTTCTTCATGAAGTCCATGGTATCCTTAATATATGATAGTAGTGAGGGAACAATGGGTCTCAGGAGGAAACTAACATATTTAGAAATGGTTCCAGGATGGAATCATTACCTGACACAATAGGACTCCCATGGGGAGGAAAAATGTTTTTATGGATCTTAAGTAACACATAAGCTACTGGTGATCCAGGATTCTTATTGCAAAAGAATCTCTTCTCCTGAGATGAAATGTATCCCATAATTTCACCTTCCTCCAAAAGGAATTTGATCTCACTTTGTATAGACTCAACAGTGCTGGAGCTGCATGGAGCATCATAGGTTTGGTCATTTAGTTGCTTCAGCAACTCTGATTCATAATCATCTCTATTTTGTATGGCAATAGCCCCTCCCTCCCTTATCAGCTTTCTTAATAATTAGGGATGGGCATGAACTGGGAAAACGTAGTTTGGTTTGTGATGTGCCCCATTTGTGAACCCAGGATTGCCACGAAACCGGTTCAGTTTGTGAGGCCATAGAACAGTCCCCAGGTGTGCCAGAGACACCAAACCAGGTGACTCTCCTCTACCTGCCCTCCAAGTTTGGCGAGGATTAGATTTACGTCAACTCTCCTGCCACAGTCACTAAACTCATGATGTGTTCCAGGCCCTTGAATGATCTCCTGCCAAGCTCTTTAAAGTCCTGGGTTTGTCATTTCACATCACCCAGCCTCCAGCTCTGACCCTGCACCTGCTCCGTCATGACTTCTACAGCCTCTAGCCCCTCTCCTTGGGGCTGATCCTCCAGTGTCCCTGTCCCTAGTTGTGCTTGTCCTTCTGCTACCTCTGGGAGCCTTGCTCCGGCTTCCTCCCAGCTCTACCCCTCCCTCGGAGACAGGACTGCCACGAAACTGGGTTCAATTTGTGAGGCCGTAGAACAGTCCCCAGGTGTGCAAGAGACACCAAACCAGGTGACTCTTCTCTACCTGCCCTCCAAGTTTGGCGAGGATTAGATTTACTCTCCTGCCACAGTCACTAAACTCATGTGTTCCAGGCCCCCAAATGACCTCCTGCCAAGCTCTTGAAAGTCCTGGGTCTGTCATTTCACATCACCCAGCCTCCAGCTCTGACCCTGCACCTGCTCCGTCATGACTTCTACAGCCTCTAGCCCCTCTCCTTGGGGCTGATCCTCCAGTGTCCCTGTCCCTAGTTGTGCTTGTCCTTCAGCTACCTCTGGGAGCCTTGCTCCGGCTTCCTCCCAGCTCTACCCCTCCCTCGGAGTGTTGTCTCTGCTTGCCAGGGTTTTCTGTGCTGGCTGCCTGCACCTCCAGCGCTGTCTCCATCAGCCCCACATCTTCCAGGCCAGCGTTTTCTAACTCGGCTGCCAGGATGAGCCCTGCCTGACCCCTGCCCTCTTGATGACAGCCATCACTTCTGGCCCAACTGGTTTTCCCTCTAGCCAGGCTCCACAGGCTCCGCACAGCCACTCCAGGGGACACAATACCCTTCTGGAGAGGCTGGCTGGGCTGGGAGCAGGGGGCATGATGCTTTAGTGGTTCCACTCTTGCTTGCTTGACTGATTCTAGAAGGTGATACTGGGTAACTGTTGCTTAGCCCTGTACTATTTATGCTATGGGGTCCTGCATGGTTCCATCTCCCATGCTATTTAACACCTAAATGAAACTTCTTGGAAGAGGTCATCTGAAGATTTGCAGTTAGGCACCACCACCAATAAGTGGACAACATCCCATTCGATTTCTCTTTAACAGCTAAACCAGGTGAGTCTGTGGAAATCCAGAATAGGTACCTGGGGAAGGTAATGGGGATGGATAAAAAACTGAAGGTCAATCCAGGCAAGACTGAGGTGCTCTTGGCCAACAGAGAAGCTGCTTGGGGATTGTGGAGCCAGCCTGTCCTGGAGGAGGCTGCAATCTCCCTGAAGAAGCAGATTCATAGCTTGGGGGTGCTACTAAAGCTCAATCCAGACAAGACTGAGGTGCTCTTGGCTAATGAAGAATCTGCTTGGGGACTGCAGAGCCAGCCAGTCCTGGAGTAGGCTGCATCCCCTCTGAACAAGCAGATTCATAGCTGGGGGTGCTACTAGATACTGGTCTATGGTTTGAGCCTTAGGTCTCTTCTGTGGCATGTAGCACCTTTTATCAGCTCCAGCTAGTTTGCTCAGCTACAGCCATTCCTTGAAACGCGTGATCTGGCCACTATGATCCATGCTAATCCAAGTTAGATTACTATAATGTGCTGTGTGGTTGAAAATGGTTCAGAAACTTCAACTGGTCTACAATGTAGTGGCCAGACTACTGTCAGGGGTTGATTAAAAGGATCATATCACCCCTCTGCCGAAGGATCTGCACTGGTGGTCTATCTGGCTTGGGACCAGGGTACCTGAAGGACTGTCTCCTCCCATACTCCTCAGCCTGCCAGTTAAGATCTGCCTCTCAAGCGCTGCTCCCTGTGCCCCCAACCTTCAGAGGTGAGATGGGTGGCAACTAGTTTCACCTGGAACCCACCTTATTCTCTTTTAGGTGTCAGGCTAAAACACATCTTTTTATCCAAGTTTTTAATTAGGGGTTTTATGTTACCAGCTTTTTATGGGCTGCTCTCTTTTAATGCTGCTTGTATCTAATTGTTTGTTTTTTAGTGGCTTGGTTTTAGTTGTAAGCCACATCAAGAAGGCCTCTGAAGAAGCACCAAAATATTCTAAATAAATAAATAAGAAGGAACCTGATTTTAGAAACTGTCAGCAAACTCAAGATGCTAGCTGATACTCAGAAATACCTTCCAACTGACTAGGATACCCCACCAATTTGGAACCCACTAGTTTGGTTCCTTAATCCAGTGTGGTGCAGTGGTTAGCTTTTCTGCCTATGATTCAAAAGTCCTACGTTCAAATTCCAGTCTGCCATGAAGATCGAGTGACCATGGGCCAGTACCCCCTCTAACCCTAACCTCCCCATATGGTTGCAGTGAAGATAAAGAGGGACACATATACTGGCATGAGCTCCCTGGAAGATAGGCATCCATTTCTAATAAATAAATCAGCCACAATGAATTTTTGAACACCTTGTCTAGATGCCATCTTATTTAGTTCCTTATTAACAATAAAAGTTATTTTAAAAAAAACTAAAGGTCACATAAGTGCTTCTGTGTCTGAATACTAAGTTAATTGCTTTGTAAAAAAGATGATTTACTCCACTTAGTTTATCCTTACCATATGAAGATCCAACAGGTAAAAAAGTCCTTGAAGCTGCTGAGAGGTAGCAGGTGTAAACTTAAGGCAGAACGCTATAAGCTGCTTTATTTCTGAATAGATGGTCAACTGGTGACTGCAGTCCTTCCTGAGAAAAGGAAATTAAACATTGGTTGAAAAGAGAAAACCTTTATATATGTACCATCTCTATGCTGTAAGATGAGATCTAAGAAAAAGGATAATCTGTGCTCAAAGTATGGTGAAAAGATATGCCACTTCTTTTCAAGCAGAATGAAAACCATCACACTTCTTAAAATGGACGAAAAACATTGTAGGATGGAGCAGTGTAGCACCTGTACCGTGGAAAGTCAGTATTAAAGTGTTTCATGCTCATGCCAGCCTAGGCAAGGGTAGATGGAAATAGGCTATACTGAGCTTGGCCCTTCTTCAAGCTGTTGAAGGAAGAAGAAGCCATCAATGGACAAGGCTGGATGGAATAAGCCTGGCTCATATTCTCTCTAGGCTTGCCAGGACCAAGCTGTATGTGGAGCTGTGCCTGAAACACATAGAGAAAGTCTTTGCAGCATCGTTTCCCTCCTACTGAAGTCCCCAAAAGCTGTCTCTCCAAGTGCCTGGTGCTTCTCCCAGCTTCACAAACAGCTCTGGCATGGGCAAGCCTAGAGGTGGAAATAGGCTTTACCAGGCTTGTAAACAAACAGTTTATACAGCAGTAATATCTATGTAAAGACTCTGAATGGTGCATATAGTGCTAAATTAAATCACCGGATGGCCAATACCGAAATGAAACAAATTACATAATCGGAAGCAGAAGATGGTGAAGTTCTGTTGTCTCTGCTAAAAGGAGACCACAAGCTGAACTGTTATTAGCAAAAATTAAAATAAAGCTTGGAACAACACCAAAGCATGGATAACGCCAAAATACAATCTAAACATTTCTGTAGAGTTTAAAGATCATGAAAAGACTAGATTGGCATTACTAAATTCAAGTGAACGTGAACCAGAAGAATTATGGGTTGAAACTAGAGATGTTATCAAGGAAGAATACGCAAAGGCTATTCCTCTAGCTAAAAAAAGAGAGAAAAGCCTCAATGGATGCTCAGGACAGACAAGGAGAAAAGTTACAAGTGACAGAAAGAGAAGTCTGAATGCAACATTCCAGCAACTGGCACATATAGACAAAGAGAACCATTGTAATAACCAGTGTAAAGAAACAGAAGAGAACAACAACAAAAAAGGAACCATTAGATCCAAGAAATCAAAGAAAAACATAAAGCACAGTTAGGTATGCTGAAAGATCAATATGGAAATACATTAACTGAGCAGGAGAAATTAAAGATGGGAATAATACACTGAAGAATTATATGGAAGGGATGAAAGGATCACAGTTTTCTTCTAAAAATAAGAATCTGCAATTTAGAAACTGAACTGAAACCTGCGCTTGAACTAGGAGTCGACAGGACATCAACAGAGCTATTTCAAACCAGAGAAATGGAATCCATCAAAATCTTACCAAGAATATGCCATCAAATATGGAAAACAAAACAATGGCCCATAGACTGGAAATGCTCAATCTATATTCCAATTCCAAGAAAAGGAGACATCAAAGACTGTAGCAACTATGAGACCACAGCATTACTATCTCACACAAGTGAAGTGATGCTCAAAATCTTATAACAAAGATTGTTACCATATATTGAAAGAGAAATGCCACATGTTCAAGCTGGAGTCAGAAAAGGAAAAGGCACTAGTGATCACATTGAAAATTTACGTTGGCTACTGGTACAAATGAAATAATTTCACAAGAAAATCAGAGTTTGTTTCATAGATTACAGCAAACCTTTTGACTGTGTGGATCATGAAAAGGTATACTTAGTTTTAAAAGAAATGGGTGTGCCACCACATCTGATTATTTTCATCTACAACCTGTACTCTGGACAAGAGGCTACTGTCAGGAAGAATATGGAGAAACAGAACGGTTTCTAATTGGTAAACATATCAGATAAGGATGTATTTCATCTCACTATCTCTTCAATCTATGTACAGAACACATAAAAATATAAGAAGATCCCTGCTGGATCAGACCAATAGTCCATCTAGTCCAGGATCCTGTCTCACACAGTAGTCAACCAATTCCTCTGGACAGCCAACAACAGGGTATAGGGGCCAAAGCCTTTCCCTGGTGTTGCCTCCTGGCTCTGGGATTCAAAGGCTTAGTGCCTCTGAATGTGGAGGTTCCCCTTAGTCACCATGCCTAGTAGCCACTGATAGATTTATCCTCTATAAATCTATCTAATCCCCTTTAAAAGCTGTCTATTCCTGTGGCCATCACTAAATCTTCCACACATTATAAGAAAAGCTGGAGCAGATTTAGATGAAGGTGGAGATATGCAGACGAGACCACATTACTGACAGAAGATAGTGAAGACCTGAAACAACTACGATTAAAGGAGAAAATGCCAAAGCAGGATTACAGCTGAACATCAAGACAACAAAAGTAATGACTACTGAGGATGAAGGTTGACGATGAAGAGACTGAAATTGTTAAAGATTTCTATTCCTTAGCTCCATCATCAACTAAAAAGGAAACGGCAACCAAGAAATCAGAAGGAGACTGAGACCAGGAAGGGCAGCCATGAAGGATCTAGAAAAGTGTAATGATGCGTTACTGGTGACCAAGATCAAGGTAAGTCCTACTACAGCATTCCCCATTAGTGTGTATGGGTGTGAAAGTTGGAAAAAACTGAGAGGAAGAAAGTTAATTCATTTGAAATGTGGTGTTGGAGGAGAGTTTTACTGATACCTTGGATCGCCAAAAAGACAAATAAGTGGGTTCTAGATCAAATCAAGCCTGAACTCTCCCTCAAAGCTAAAATGACCAAACAGAGGCTTTTGTACTTTGGTCGCATTATGAGAAGACAAGAGTCACCAGAAAAGACAACCATGCTAGGAAAAGTTTAAGACCCAACATGAGAAGTATTGACTCAATAAAGGGAGCCACATCCCTCAGTTTGCAAGACCTGAACAAGAAGGTCAACAACAGGACATTCTGGAGGTCATTCATTCGTAGGGTTGCCGTAAGTCAGAAGCATCTTGACAGCACTTAACACAGTCTGAAATGAAATCATGACAGCACTTAACACAGTCTGAAATGAAAGCACATGTGCCTCTTGCCCTTTTTCCCCACTTGAAGCATTGAGGATAATGATAGTAAAAAGCAAGATGTCAAAACAAAGACTGAACTCATATTCAAAGCACCTCAATTCCCGCCCCCCTCAGTTGCCACTTACTTTATGACAGCAGAATTCAAGGTTTGAAGTTTCTGGAAACATTCTAGCTATGTGCGTGCATTTATAAATTTGGTTGCTGTAGCACTACCTACTTAGGGGTATATTGGACAGTATTTTCTCTATGGACTGTTATTACCCCTAGGAGGGCTTGTACTTGTGGACTATTTTGGACTGTATTACTTTAAAAATCATCATTCTGTGGTTTGTGAGACTGTATGATGTGCATTACATTCTTTTGAAGTGCTGTATGTTTTTACATGTTCAATATAATCCTATGAGTATCATTACTTGTCTTAAAAACGTTTTGGGAGAGTTTCCATCTTTTCATTGGTAGCACTACCTATGACAGTCATGGCATTCCAAGAGTTTAAAATGGCTGTCACAGCTACAATAAGGTACGGGTGGACAAGCAACCTTGTCTTGTTCCTAATAACAGCAGGACTTCAGCAACTAAAGCTAAATGGTTAATGTCCCCTTGGAAAAGGAAGGGATGGGTGGATACTACAGAATGAATCAAAAGCTCACCCCAAATAGAAGGGGCAATGCATTAGGAAGGATGCAAAAGCAGAGACAAAAAGATGTAAATAAAGAAGGATCAAGGCTGAAGAGAGCAGCAAACTGGCGTTCAAGAAATGAGTCCAGGTGAGGCAGAGCTCCTGCGTAAGGAAAATAAGATGGCTTCTGTGGATCAGAATGGCAAGCCTATTCGGCAGGAACAGCAATTCAAAACAAAACGTAGATCTATAGTCCTGTGATTTAAAGCCATGCTATCTAAAGAGGAATGATTAGTAGAATGATTACTGTTAACTGCGGTTATTAGAGGAAAAAGTAGGCCTGGCCCTGCACCATCTTCAGCAAGTCAGGCCTCAAGTGGGCCAGGGCCCTACTACCTTGGACCTGAAAACCAACTGTTTCCTTGTTCACAGAATGTCAATGCAGCTTATATTCTGCAATCAGATACCCATAAATTATTAACTGCTGCTACAAATCATAAGCATCTCCTTAAACAGTACTTTGGAATGAAATGACACCACAGAAGCTGCCTTTATGACATCATGTGGTGATTAAAGAAACAGAAACACACTACATGTAAGCAGAAATTATCAGTACAGAAGTAGGTTAACTGGCTGTATCAATAAGTTCTATGGCTGCAGGTTTTACAAACTTCCAATTTATCTAGCAACTCACACAACACTGAGACCTCATATTGCGTTAACAAAGTTACAACAGTTACAATTTACAGGCAAAATTCACCTTTGCAAATATGCCCTAGAAATACAATCTGCAGTCAGTTTATACTGCCACAACAATGCCAGATACTCCATTGCAGGCCACAGCTGAACCCTACAGCACAGCTGAGTCAACAAGGCAGAGCCCATGTGCTTAGAGACCGTGTGCTCAGCATACTTTTCTTCAAGAGATTCAACCAAGACCCTTTCTTGTTTCAGCTTTGAATGCTGCAGATTCACAAAGGTCTGCAATTCATCTGTAAGACATAAAGAAGTGTAAGCTGAAATTGATCTTCAAATACATCCAGAAGAACATTCACACAGAATGCAACCAAAAAACACCTAATTTACCCGAACTAACGTCCTTCAACTGATTAGCTCTGAGAACTAGGCCTTGGGCTTGAAGTAATGCTTTTCTTATCTCCCATCCAGTGGCTGTGGTTTTCAGAGTACATAGCTGCTTCTGCTGTTGACCGTCGCCAAGGGCTGGCCCCAGCTCCAGGATGTTAAGCGCTTTGCAGAGCCTTTGCAGATGGGCAGCACATTCCACAACTGCTTTCTCCTGCAATGATAATTTTAAAAAGAATATCAGCTCCAGAGCCCCACCCAGCCTGAACAGTTACTATTTCACTTCAGCGTTTACAGTAAAAAAAACCCTACAAAATTATGACATGACTAATGTTGATTTATTTGTAATGATTTATTTGAAAGACAGGGGGAGAGTGTCAAACTCGGAGCCTCGTTTGCCATGAATTTTGTGTGTTCCAGTTTCATGACCTGTACTTGGGCATTGGAGCCGAAGAACTTAGTTCTGACATGAATGGTTTTAGCTTGACACATGCACATCTTTCAATAAACAAATCAGAGAGTGTTGTTGAGAGTAAGTTTGTTCAAGAGTCTGACAGTGTCAGAACTCCCTTATCGCCTTGACTCCTCGCCCCACTGCTGTGATGAGCGAGGACAGTGAGGACCACGGGACTGGGATTGGAACCCAAACTGCCCCCCGGCCCATGAACCCACTCTATCACCGGACGAGGTGAGACCCCGAGGCACAGGGGCGAGACTGAGAGACCGCCAAGCTGCACAGGCAAGATGTAACGACCCGGACTGACTGCTGATCCCGGGTCCGAGAACGTGGAGGAATTGGTCAGAGACTGAGCTGCAGAGGATCTCAAGACATTGAACTGTGCCAGTAAAAATTCCTGTGTGAAATAGATGAGCTGCGGCGAGATACCGACCTGTGTTGGTGGACCTCCCAGCCGCTATCTGGGAGGCCTTGCAACAAAAGCTCCAGGCCCTGGGAGCTGAACCCGCTCAGCAAGACCCCATTGGGTCCAGCGCTGGTACCCGCACTGCAGCCTCAGCCAGCACCCCAGCCTGGTCCAGTCCCTGAACTGGCCAGGCCAAGAGACATGCTGGAGGCTACGTTTGATGGGACCCCAGAGAAGCTGGCATTCTTCACGCTGCAGGTGCAAAAGTTCTTGAGAGACTGGGGCCACACCTTCGCCTCAGATGAGCACCATATGAACTACATGGGGTCTCAACTGCAGGATCAGACAGCAGACTGATTTGTGGGACTGTATAATGTGGGGGTCCCTGAGATCCAAGATGTGGGCCTTCTGCTGACAGTATGAAGACCCACTGGAGATGGAGTGGGCCAGAATCCAACTCCAGGGTCTGAGGCAGGGCAGCTGGTCTGTTCGAGAGTTTTTGGATGAGTTCAAGACATATGCGGCCAAGATCTAGGAGTGGCTGGAAGAGGAGCTGATTGAATTCTACCAGGCGGGCCTGAATCCTTCCATCCTTGACAAGGCCTTAGCCCAAGACAATCCATTAACCCTGAACGGGTGGATCCAGATGGCTTGCAAGGCAGAGAACTGGTGTAACCAAATGAAGATGTACCATCCCAAGCCTGGGGTGAAGGCACCGGGAGAGGAGACAACAGGACAACGGAGTTGGACCCAGGAGCGAACAAGAGCAGAGGATGCGGCGGGGCCTGTGCCTGAGATGTGGAGCCCCTGGGCATTTCATGCCCAACTGCCCTCGCAACAAGAGCCCAGGAGGGCCGAAGAAAGAAGACAGCGAGGGGACAGAGAGGATGAGCAAGCCCATCGGGAGTCGTCCCAAGCCACCCAAGGCTCTCCAATTGGGAGGGCAAGAGGAACTGGAAGGGGCTTCAACCAATGAGGAAGAACTGCAACAGCCAACGGGAAAAGGCTGGGATCTGCTGTGAAGGGTGCTCAGCGGCAGGTCTGAAAGTCTCCTGCACCAGAATCGGTGAGAACCACTTCCCCCCTCTTTTACCCGCCTGTGACGGTGGTTAACCCCACTGTGGGCACCCACATCCAAGTGCGGGCCCTTATTGATTCTGGGTGCACCCAGGACTTAATCAGCCCGGTCCTGGTGATGGGGCTGGGAGCTAAGGCGCATGAACTAGAAGAGCCCTTAGTGTTCTCCCAGATGGATGCGACGCCCATGAAGGGGGAGCCATGCAAGTACTGCACGTTTCCACTGCCAGTAAGGGTGGGCTCCCACTGGGAACTGTGGTCTTTTGTAGTAAGACCCTCGGCCAAGTTTTCAATGGTGCTGGGGAGTCCCTGGCTGTGGGCTCATGACCCTTATGTCTAATGGAGTCTTTTGAATAAATCAAGATATTATCCAGATAAACCAGCACCCCTTTGAATAAATATTTATGTAACACTTCGTTAATCAAGTTCGTGAACATCCCCAGGGCTCCTGCGAGCCCAAATGGCATCACCTGGTACTCAAACTGACCAAAGGGGGTGTTAAAAGCAGTCTTGTGTTCATTCCCCTCCCTGATGCGCACTTGAAAGTAGGCATCTCTTAAGTCCAACTTAAGATGCGCCCCTGGGCTGCCTCTGCCAGCAAGTCTTTTATCAAAAGAAGGGGGAAGGCATTTGACATGGAAACAGCATTCAGGCCCTGGTAGTTCATACATAGTCTCAAACACCCATCTTTCTTTTTGCGGAAAAGTACTGGGGCAGCAAAAGGCAAAGCCGCTGGCCGAATAAACCCCCTGGCCAGTTTTTTCATCAATAAACTTCCACAAGTCCTCCTTCTCAGCAAGGCTTATGGAATAGAGTTTCCCCTTAAGCATCTTGTGACCCGGTAAAATCTCAATAGCACGGTCAGTTTTCCAGTGAGGGGGGAAGTTCCTCCGCCTCCTCCTCCTCAAATACTCAGTCCAAGTCCCTCTATTCCAGGAGAATGAGGCACAGCTCCTCTCGGGCCAGGTGCACCCGTTCCAGGGCCAACTACGGTGCCCTCCCCCATTCGGGGTTCCAGGTATGCTCTTTGCCGCAGGGGTTGAGGAACTGCAACGCTCCCACACTCCATTACTCCCCAGCAAGGGCAGAACTGTGATTTGGGTGGTGGTGGATCTATTCTCAAAACAGGCTCACTTTATCCTGTGCAAACACCTACCCCTCAGCCAAAAAACTATTCACGCAAAACATTGTGAGGCTGCATTCTGTACCCCGAAAGATCATGTCAGACTGGGACCCCAATTTGTGGCAGGTTTCTGGCATCAATTGTTAAAATTGCTGGGAGTGGAGCAAGGGCTCAGCAGTGCCTATCACCCAGGGACTGAAGAACAAACGGAGAGGACTAATCAGATTCTGGAGCAGTTTTTGAGATGCTTCATTAACTATCAACAGGATAACTGGCTGGACTTGCTCCCTTATGCGGAACACAGTTATAATAACACTGTTCAAAGTAACACAGGGGCCACCCCTTTCAAAGTGGTTCATGGATATGAGGGGGGTCTCTTGCCCACGGTGGCAACTGATCCAACAGGGCCAATGGACTTACAAACCTGGTGGGCTGACCTAACTCAGCAGTGGTCCCTGATCCAGCAGACTCTGACCAAGGCAAAAGAGGATTATAAGGCACAAGCTGACAAGGGCTGGGCACCTGAATGGGACCTTCACTCTGGGGGCCCTATGTATATTTCTACTAAGAACTTTAGGGGGTTGCAACCTGGGAAGAAACTGGGGTGGAAATACGTAGGCCCAAGTTGTAAGAGACATCAATAAAGTAGTTGTTGAACTAGAGTTGCCAAAGAACTTATGGCACATCCATCCTGTTTTCCATTTCAGTCTGCTGAAGAAGGATCCGGGACCCTCAACATGGAAACTTCGTCCTGCAGCTCCCCCTCCCCTGAACATGAATACTGAACTCCATCAGAAGGTGGAGGAGATCTTGGACTCGAAAATCAAACGGGGACACTTGTATTATCTCATTAATTGGCGAGATTTTGACCCGAGCCATAACGAATGGGTGCAACAAGACCACGTTAACGCCCCCGCAATTGTTTGTGCCTTTCGTAAACATCACCCAAGCAAACCTGGGGGGTGATGGGGTCTTTGGGAGGGCAGAATGTCAAACTCGGAACCTCGTTTGCCATGAATTTTGTGTGTTCCAGTTTCATGACCTGTATTTGGGCACGGGGGGGGGCAGGTAGATGTGAGAGTGAGTGTGCTTTGCTTAATGGTTTGGGAACTGTTTTCTTAAGAGGCCTCCCGAACGGGAAGAATGTAGAAGGACCTTGGAAGCTTGTCTCTGCTGGGCAGCCTGTCACAGATAATTCGTTGTAGGTTCACAGGTGGGGGGGGGAGGACTAATGGTGCATGCTGAATTTAGGCAGGCTGACTGAATGGACTGACTGGATGGGTCGGGGGGGCTTGTTTGAATCATGTATAATTCCAGAATTGGAGCCAAAGAACTTAATTCTGATATGAATGGTCTTAGCTTGACACATGCACATCTCTCAATAAACAAATCACTGTCCAGAGAGTATTGTTGAGAGCAAGTTTGTTCAAGAGTCTGACAGAGAGAGGATATACTTGCTGGTGATAGCTAACCAACACAACCCAAATCCACACCACAGTACCACTCTCATACATGTTTCAGTCTGTATGTGGCATTCGGTATGTGCCTGAAGTGGTTTTGCTTCTCTACCCTAGAAAGGCAAGCAGCAGGTAGCAGTGCAAAGCAGGCGAAATAAGCAATCGTGTAAGCCTCACTCTATGTCACAGATGGGCTCACCCCACTGGCCTATGGTAGTTGCGGCACACAACCCGCCAGTCATGATCAATGTTCCCTCTAAGCTGTGGAGTCCTGTGAGCAAAAATTCTACCTTGTGAGCTACTGGCATTAAAGTTAGGAACAGGTGATTTGGCTACTGCGTCAATTAGTTTGCTCTGGTGCCGTCTTTCCTGAGCAAAGACAAAAATGTGTGAGCCGGAGGCTAAAGAACAGTGAGCTGGCTCACACTAACTCAGCTTAGAGGGAACACTGGTTATGATACTTACTTCACATCAACTAAGTTAACTCCCCCTACTAAAGCTGACATTTACTCTTCTTAAAAAGGAACAGGTGTTTTTCTAAACCCATACATTTTCCAACTTGAATATTTATTTATATTTATTTTCAGAGATCATAAAAATATGTATTTTGCTACACTACTTCTGTAAAGACTGCTAGGGAGACAGAATGTTGTTTTATTACCGTGTTTCTAGAGTGCTCTAAATATATTACATTTCCAAGGAAGTCACCTCCCACGGAAGTCAACAGTACTCAGTTATCATAACTCAAAATACCTTGAAGGGAAGAGGTTTTCCCAAACACTTCTGCAACTCCTTAAGACTGGCTGAAATACCAGTGGGACTTTCCAGACTATTCTGAATTTGCTGTGAGACACACTGAATATCTTTGGATAGCCTTAAAATGAAAGAAGGAACAAACATCCATGCAGAAGGAAAAGAGATTGTTATTAAACAAGGAATACATACTGGATAAACTGCTGCCAGTGAAATTTCATACCACCATAAACTAATTGGTTATTATAGCCTGTCTGAGATGCTTAGTGGCCTTCACAAAACCATCTGCAAGAGAATGCCAGGCTACTGGTAGTGAATACAGGAAAGTATGAGTTTCATTAACTGGTACCTATATGTGGGGGACTGTGTAGCTGCAATCTGCACTAATGTGGCAATTCATGATTGGGTGGTGGTGGCTTTCACAGGTATTGGTGTGTATGCTATCATTCATGTGAACCAGGTTTAATACATTCCAACCACGGTTGGGGTGAATTAGCTCCCCCCCGGTTTTACTTTTTGCGATACAACGCATAGAGAAGTGGCTGTACAACTGTGTATTCATAGGAAGTCATTGCCTCTACAGTATTTAACAGTGTTACCAAAGTATCAACCAGTTACCTCTTACAGTTTGCTTTCAGTAAACAAAAAAGCACCCAGGGTAGATAAACCAAAACAGAAATCTATTTGTCCACTGGGGTAGTATTTTTTACCTCTATTGTGGTAAAAGGGGCAGAAAAATACACAGAGACAAGAACATTAGAAATTATTGATTTTAGGTGCTTTCCTTTAAAATTCATAGACATTTATATTTGTTGTCTAATACCTCAGATTTCAAACATTTTTTAAAAATTTGAAACAACAAAAACTAACAAGTGTAAAGGAACCATACTATTGCAAGCAATTCAATATGTGAGAGGAGAGGGGTCAATGTATGCCAAAGAAACATTCTGCCTTGTATCAAAATGCATTTTCAAACTCTGGATGTTTTAATCCTATGAAACACAATGATTTCTACCATAACAAACATTTATTTCTTACAGAATTTTTCTACCCCAAGATGTACTGGAATTTGGCTTGGGGTAGAAATATACCTCTACCAAATGAAATACGTATTTTTTTCAGAGCTTGGTTACAGATTAAAACTGTGCAGTACTTATTTTCTTCTGGCTGTAATACATCATACCTCAGTGACACCCCACTCTTCCTAAACATATACAACACAGAAATTCTAGAAACGATATTCATGCAAGCAGTGGTAAGCTTTAGACACAAAGTCTAAAATTATAAATCATAAAAATGGCATCCCAGGGCTTTAAATTGTCTATACTTTTGTATTTAAGAATGATAGTTAAGAAATCTGATTGCTGGATTGAGGTAGGACAGTGTAACAACAGCACATAAGAGTCAAAACCAACATACTTGGGCTGCTCGTATCCACTCAGCAGCTCAGGAATGTTGCTGATCAAGTGTTTCACCACCCAGTGCCAGTGAAGAGACAAGAGCGTCAAGCCAGGAGAATCTACAGCCACAGTGTCAGACGTTGTCCAAAAACGATCACGCCACAGTAAGCAGTCCAGTATCTAGAGGCAAGTCAGGAAGGATTATAGTTTGTCCAACTACTGCTTACACAGATATATATTTCAGGATGTACCCACAATAAATTTGTGTTAAAAGCTATGTTTCAATTTTTTATTTTATTTCTTTTATAATTAACAATTGGTAGCACTGGAGCATTATCTGTAAGGTAAACTAAATTCATCAACATCCTCATACTTTGGAACATGTAAAGCTAAAGCTAAAGGTATCTGAACCAGGTATCGAGTGAGGTCTGAAACAGCATTGTGTCATTGGGAAGTGTCTTTGCTGCAGAACTTGCACAAAGGAAGAACCCATGTGATGACAGGGGAAATTGTGTGTGCCTGGAGGATGATTTGACAAGGACTAAAGTGTCAGTCTCAGAAGCATGGCTGTAGTGACAGACCTTGGGGACAGGAACTACTTTCATTCATCCTAATTCTGTCAAACAGCAAGACTTTATTTTCTCATTACTGAACTTGTTTTGATCTTTATCCTTTCAGTTTGAGACAGGAAAATGCAAACCTGTTATGCTACAAGATGATGATTACCAAAGCCATTCCAGATCCTTCTCAGGGACAACTACTCAGGGCAAGGTATCACAAGAAAAATAAAGGCATATACTTCTGCCTTTTGTATCTCAAGAGAATAACCCTCCTACTGAGGAGCAGGCTAGTAAGGTATTCCTTTGGCCTTTTCTAGATCTCAACAAAACAAGACCAGCTGCCAGGAAATAGACAGGAATCCCCTAAGGTCCTAAACTGGACCAAAAAATAAATTAGGTACAGAAAAAGTGCTTTCCGTTCCTCCAGTATTTTAACTTTGCATCTCCTTTGATCAGACTGAAGTTTTAGTTAGTGTCATCTTTGTCTTCATTCTTGCAATCGTTTTATATGTGCCCTAAGATCTGTATCTGTTCAACTACAGATAATTTTCCTGCATGTCAGTGGAATTCAGAAAAGTTATCTTTTTGAGATGATGCTGGAGGTGGCATATACAGCGATTCAGCAAGCCACAACTCTCATGCGGTAGGAGCCTGCACTGATGTCTGAGCTGGATGTTTCTGCACGCTAGCTAAAGTGAGTATTCCTTCCCATTCCACAACATTGTTTGCCAACAGCAGAAGACATATAGGTATAATGTTTTGTTTCTTAAGCTTTCAGTTCCACACAAACAAAATAACACAGTTAAGAGATCAAAGGACTTTTAAAAGCTAGTAACTGGGATGAAAAATGAGATAATAAACTCAGAGAGAAAGGAAATGGATAATTCTAATAGAACAAGTAATTGTTTAAAAAAGGATTTGCACTTACTTTGTGTAATTTTTCATCAGACACAGCCACTTGAGCAAACTTTACCCAGTTTAACATGTAGGCATCCCAGTGTTCAAAAAACGCAGCAAGATTGGCCACCACAGGATGTGGAAGTGAGTTGTAGTTGCTTGAGTCTTCATTTCAATATTAAAATTAAAGAAGAGAGCATTACTGCACCTAGTACATGTTAAATTAGTAACTATCAACAGATGATTCAATTCATGGTCAAGTATTTTAATTAAAAGTGGTACTCCCTGAGAAGCTTCCCATTTGTCCATCTGAACTCCTAACATAGAATCTGAATAGTTTGTAAATGTGCTGACAGTACTTTCCACTATTCATCTGTGTTAAATTCCCGTATTCTTCCTTCATGCTCAAATCGCTCGTGTATTAGGACCGCTGTATTTAATGCCATAGTGTTTAGAACTGTGCAATGCATTGTTAATTTTTATCTTTGAATCAATCTGAATCTACCTGTAGCAAAATGGTTTACAGACATTGAACACTGGAAGCCACATTGAGGCCTACATGGCAACTATGGTCTCCAACTGCAACAAAGAAATACTCTTCATCTTTACAAGGTTAAAATTTGCCCTCCTGCTATATTTTTATGCAATTACTCTTCATGGTTAAAGAAAAAAATCAGTATTCAGAATTAGTGTTCCATTCATTAAAAAGAAGAAATACGATGATACCTTTGTGAAACTCTAGAGATACCCTTAAGACACTATTTCTTGTTTTTCTGGTGTTAATCAAGCTTCTTTCAACATAGTTCTTTTTTTCTCTGTCAAGAAACAATATTGCCCTGCAAATACAAAGTAACACTGTAGGTCATAAAAATGTTATGATAACAAGCAAGCCAAATCATTATGAGAGGGTAAATTACTGCCCCATAAAAGGCATCCCACATAACAACTTATATAGTACCATTAGTAGATATGCCATAGAACACTGGAGTGAAATGGATCTTGCCTGAAGAATTTATAGGCAAAACAAGAGACTGACAGAGAGGAAGACGAGAGGCTGTACGTGGTGGGAGCAAATTAGAAAAAGAGTCTGATAGCAGCAGGGGAGCAGCTAAGATGACTCATGGACTGTTCAAGAACCAATCTGATACAGAAGCTGGTTTGAGAAGGTGCTGAAGGAGTCAAGGGGGTCAATAAGAAATAAGCCTATCATTAGCAGAAAAAGGACAGACATCTAGACTGTCTAATGAACCCCACGTCATGTTTTATTCTATGCAGTTCTCTCTCTGTAGATCTGTGAAGTCAGTAACCTCATGCAGTCTGAAGTGAAAGGCTTTGCAAGAGCTTTGTCACAGTCTGTGATTACGGCACAGTTACTGGCCGAGACAAGAGGTGACTTTTCTAGTTGAAACAGTTTAAATAAGACAACTTACCGATTTGAACGTGACTTTAGAAGAGTAAGCAGCTTATCTGAGTGTTCTGCATCAAAATTAACTGAATTTCTTATGTGGAAGCCCTGCATATTCCATCTTGGATCCATGGGAATCACATGATCATCTGACAAGACAGTTTAACAGGAAGTATCTCTCACATGGCTTTATTACAAATGGTTCCCCTTTCCCTAAACAATAGTTAGGAACATCTGTCTACTCAATGAGATACAGGTGTGCACTTTACACATTTTCAGCATTATTTCTGAACTGGGAGAAAATGTCTGAGACAAGACAGAGGTATGTTTTGTCATGCTCTGCAGTTTCCAAAGTTACCTAATGTAAACTATACTGTCACAAGCTATGCTTTGCTGAGGCTGTCCCAATGAACCCGTGAAGTGCTCACATTGATCTTCAGTGAAGAGCATATGTGCAAAATGTAGGCAGATAACATCTTACCTGTTGTATGTGGCTGTAGAGGACTACAGTACAAATTATTCAGAGACGCAGCACCAGCTTCCAGATAAGTATGTACTAAATCTGCGGGGGGAAAGTGTAACTGTGAAATACATTGTTTTTTGAACATGTGTTGGGATTCCTCTCCCCTCCAACGTATGGGAAGAACATGTTCCCACACATGCACGGGGAACAAGAGTTATTTCCTCCCACTGGTAGTTCCTGATTCTTGAAGGGCTCCCAAGCTGGAGGCTACAACTGGAAGGCTGAAAAAAAAAATCCCCTCCCCTCCTGCTACACTTTGGATTCTAGCCACAGAATGTCAATCAACCAAGGTGAAACTCAAATGGGATCAGCAGAGACAATCAGATTCTCTCATCTCCTGCTCATATGCAAAAGGTTCAGAAACAGCTCTGGGCAGCAAAGCGTGGGAGTCTCACATCTTGGGATTAACAACATGAGCGCCACACCACAACAGAGCAAGGGTCAATTTAAATAGCACACACACAGTTGGAGGCATGCACAGCATAGGAGCAGTGGCAACCACCTGTCTCAGCCAACTGCTAAGATTAATTTCTAGAATGGCCCATAAATTCACGAAGTGTGTTAGTGAACTCCCAATATTATAGAGGCTTTATTACGTACGTAATGGTCCAATCCTAAAAAGCCTATTTAATCCATGAGAAAGAGACAGCGCATGTCATTGGCACATCCTTTGAAGACTTCCATGCAGTAGCTTCTGCATGGAAAGCCACTATGGTAAGTTTAAGTGACATCCTGCTTCAGCAGAGATGTCTGCTGTGAGAAATCTTCTGGGAAAACAAAAATGATACTGCTTGGTTCCCACATTTTTAAGTTATTTCTTTCCATAACATTACAGGAAATGATAATATTGTGCGGGTAATAACAGCCAGCTAGACTAGATAAGTCAACCAGCATACAAAATGCCATAAACAGCCCATGGGTTTAAGCTCTTCCAGTCTTCTGACATGCTTACTGTACTGCACAATAAACATTTAGTGTCCCAGATGGCCACTTAAAGATGTTATATATGACAGTCAGCAAAATATTAGCATTTTTTAGGGCCATGATCCAAAGAATGGTCTGCAATTCACAAGGGCTCAATTCCTTGCCTCGCTCTGTCCTAGGGTTTTATTTTTAAAAAAGAAATGTATGCCCTGCTTCAAGGTGGCTTACAAACACATGAAAGACAAAAAAAGAAAAGAAAAAAAGAACAATGAAAGTTACACAACGTAAGACCAGCAGTAGCAGGATTAAGCATAAATTTTAAAAGACACCAACACTAGATTGGTTCAGATAAAAGGCTTAGAAATATGAGAGAACATGATGGATTTTTCCTGGAACCCAAGCATTAACAAAGATGGCACTGACTGAACGAGCTTAGGGAGAAAGTTCAAAAGTCTTGGTGCCACCTTAGAAAAGAGTGGTAACCACTCACCACACTTCCAAGGGTGGAGGCACATGAACAAAGCTGTCAGATGAAGACAAACACTTCATTAAGCAGCGTCACAAGGAGTCCAGACATTCAAGGATACAGATGTCAGATTATGAAGTTCAAGTATATAATTCACTTGCAACACCATAACCTATAGTATATTGTAAACTGCTTTGAGTGCTGCAAGTTAGAAAGGTGGCTAATAAATCTTCCAAACAAATTACAGTGAGGATTCCCCATTCTCTCATACCTAACATTTTTAAAACATACAATAAATGTTTCTCCAATCCTCCAGAGCATCTTCTTTCCTTTTACTTACACAGCTTCAGCAGGTCAAAAGAAATCCTCATTAAAAAACCAATGGTTCCATGGAAGTTTATTTATGAGAGTTCAATTTAAAATCACGTTTTCTTCCACCACCACAAAAACGACATTATGGCCACGCTTGTGTAAGCAGAAGACAAAGGTTATACTTACCAGGCACTTGTGGTACATTCTTTTTTAACTGAGTGAGACATCCAACTCTCAGTGACCAGTCCTGATTGGTTGCCTTATGTATGAACAATTTAACAGCTGCAGAAAGGACCTCCACGTCATCTATCCAGCACTCATCTATCTCAACCCCACTGAATTTGAGACAATCTGGATTAGAAGACTGCAGAATTTTCTTAAAATCTTGTATAGTAAGAGGCAGGGTCCTGAAAAAAAGAGAATCAGATAACAAGGAGATCAATTCTATGCAAAGCCTTTAACACTGCTGTAAAGGTCCACTTAACTCTATTCAGCATTAGACATGGAGCCAGACAGGTAAATTCATGTCAGTGCCATCATAAATCCTGAATCAAGAGTTGCCTGTCAATTTAGAAAGGTGGAGAAATGACCACATTGTTATCCCATCCTTCTTCCAAGGAATTCAGAACAATGTACATGATTTTCCCTTTCTTCATGTTATTAAAAAACGGCCTTCTGAGGTAGGTGTTGCTGTGTGTGAGAGACAGAAATAAATGTATCCATTTAAAACAAAGTAGTGGAATTGATATATTTAATATAATCACTCAGATCCTTTCAGGACTATGCCTGATTAGAGCAGCCGTATTTATTTTGGACGCAGATGTTATTGGATTAGAGTCATTTTTCTACTATTAATTCCACTGCTTTGCTTTAAATGGAAAATGTAATTAATCTTTTGTCAACATATTTCACATAAACAGATGGCATGAGCATTTTAAATAGTTTGCAAACATACTGATCATTAATACTCAGTGGAAACTGTGTGTTATGATTTGCAAAAAGGGCTTAGTCCAATTGATCTATGAAATACTGGTACTGTGTTTATACTTTTCATATATATTCTTCCTTGTACTCATTTTTCACACACACACACACACAAAACTATCTGGTGTTTGTACTGAAGGACAATTGTTCTGTTAGGATTATATACCTTTCTATAATAGATTTTACCTGTTCCTCAACCCTATCTAGTATACTATTAGAAGCAGGGGTTGTTTCGTAGAAAAAGAGCTAGGGGAACTCATTAGCATAACTCATTAGCATATGCCACACCCCCTGACATCATAAGGCCCGGCAGTGGACCTGCAAGGCCGGCGGGAGTGCGAGGAAGCCCCGCCAAGGCCCTCCTTGGCCCCAGGCAGGCAGGGGTGGGGAGAGGCGGGGAGGAAGCAACTTACCCTCCCTCTTCTCCTGCCTCCTCCTGGCTGAATGGGGGCTGGAAGCGGGGCGGCCGGAAGCAGGGGGTGGGGCTTCGTCGTGTGCCCCGCCCCCCGCACCTCACCTGGGGGAACTGCGATCCCCCGCGATCCCCCCGAATCGACCTCTGATTAGAAGTGTTGTTTGTAAGCTTATCTCTTTCCTCTTTTGGGGATTGTATTGCAGCTAACACTTAAAACTGTGCAAGCATTCACACATCATGCTGAATCATGGGTATGTATTATGTCTCAGAAACAGCTCCTTGGGTTTACTCACTACTTGGAATCATGGCAAGTCAAAACTGCATTGTTTTCATCAGATTTATTTCAGCCTGCTATTTGCTTGTCATCATACATGTTTGTGTGATTGTGTACTTAGAAAATATTAAAAATTAAGTCATGTATTTTAAGATCTATCCTCAAGAGTCATTCTCTCTCAAATGTAAATATATGGGAGTGTTCATCAAAACGAACAGCTGAAATCAGTTGAAGTTACAAGTAACAGCGTTGGCCCAAAGATAAGTTCAAAATTAAGTTGTACTACTCAAATGAGACACACATACAGTGTGCAACCTTCTGAGTTCACCAGAACTTTCAACTGGGCTGAATGTATACCAAACAAACAAACAAATAAATAAAAGTGAAAAAAGTAAAAAGGGGGAGAAGATCCAGACCACAATGTTGAGGCCTCCTGTCTGAATCCTGCACAGAATGCCTTGCAGACTTAATAGTTGCTGTGTGGATCTGATATTAGTTCACATCTTTGGCCTTCTGAGAAGCCTCTACCGATAAGTTTTTTAAAAAATGAAACAGTGAGCTTAATACTAGGAAAAACAACATCTCTTACCCACCTGCTATTTTTAAGACTCTGTCGATTGAGGCAATGTGCCAAGACCTGGGCGTCATTCTGAACCATAGCAAGGAAAGAATCTTCAGCTGCAAATGAAGCACTGGCTGCTGAATCCGGCCACAATCCCAAGGCAAGCAGGGAATCACCCTTCGTGTCAGCTGAAGCCAAAGCTGAAACATGCTTCATTATCAAGTCCAGCACAAGCTAAAACCAAGACGAGAGAAGAAACATTACATGTAATTTCAGTGCTTCTGTTAAAGAAGATTTTGGGCACCATTCTTCCTGCTGGAGCTTTCCTCTAACACAAATATATTTAATCACTAGCATACATTTTCAATAATGATTTCCTTTGAAACATCAGTTAATCAACAGCACTGCATTTACTGATATATTCATACCTTGCTTTTCTCCCCAATGGGGAATCCAAGGCTGCTTACAACCTCATGCTTCCCTTCTCTGTTTCACCCTCACAACAATCCTGTGAGGTAAGTTAGGCTCAGAGAGAGGGACAGTGACTGACTCAAGGTCACCTTCAGAGCTTCCATGGTAGAGTGGAGATTCAAACCTAGCTCTCACAGATCCTATTTCATCACTCAGACCACTATGATGAAACCCACATGAACAAAACTTAACGGGTCATTACTGAAAACCGCATTTCCCCATATATTCCCCAAAGAGCACTTCGGTCAGGGTCACAACACCGGCTGGTGACCCCGGGCCTAAGGAGGCCAAGCTTGTGGCAACAAGGGCCAGGTCTTTCTCAGTGGCAGCTCCTACCTGGTGGAATGAACTCCCGGAGGAGATCAGGGCCCTGCAGGACCTTGTGCAGTTCCGCAGGGCCTGCAAGATGAAGCTCTTCCGCCAGGCTTATGAGTAGGAGCCGCCACGGCTACTTACACCACCGCTCCCTATAGAGAGAGACCGCTGGGGGGGTGGGCAACATCTTTCCATTACCCAGCCTTCCTCCCTGCTACGCAAGATGTTAGGAGTTTATATGTGCATCTGTAGAATTGATTTTAATCCGTTTTAATTCTGAATTTTGTATTTTGTAATTTTGTATACTGTACGCACTTAGTGCCCTATATGAGCCACCCTGAGCCCATTCGCGGGGAGGGCGGGGTATAAATGCAATAAAATAAATAAATAAATAAATCAGCTTTCACACTGTCCTGTGATGCCTTTATCACACATTCAGGTCATCATTTGATGTTCCAGTTAATGAATAATGAGCACACACACATATGGACTAGACTGGTTTTACGGATGAAAAGTGTGTTTGCCTACCTCTGGCAAATGTGCACCTATGTGTCACAAGGAACACTAAGAAGAAGATCTGAAACCTAACTGCTAGAAATAATGGCTACTCTGACATTTGCAATGACAGTAAGTCTCTAGCAGATCCTGTGTGAAACAACATCAGAGGAAACAAAGTTATTTTAGAATTTTGGAAGTGTTACATAATTTGACTAAATCCAGAAGGGACCAAGGATATTGGCCTCCTCTCTGCAGATTATCACCATGTCTTTAATGTGTACTGGCTTACCTTTCGGTTGCCTTGTGATTGTTGTGGACAGACATAGACTTCCCAACACGCTCTATAGAAGCTCTTAGCTAAGCTGATTCCCCGGTGCAACTGCTGCACAGTCAGCGTTGCAGCATGAATCAAAGATGACAGTGAGCATGTAGAACCTGAGGAAAAAAATATTGCAGAATGCCTGTTTCAACTTGTGCAGAGCTTTTCTTTCACACTTATTAGAAGGAATCAGTATACTTTTCTAAAGGACCATGAAATAGGTATGATACTATATATTTTTTAAAAATTGATCATCAAATTAAATTGGTTAACAAATACCATCCATAAAATAAGATTAAGTTGGTTTTTTGCAATCACTGAGCATTATTTTGCTCACTAATAATAATGAAAACCCTTAATAATACTGTACTGGAAGAAAAAGAGTCGGTTCTCTCATTCATTCAGTTTCTTGCTGTGGTATAGAAATAACTGCAAATGACACTAAAACTTGGGAACACCCAATTACATTGATGGGCAATACATTCAGGACAGACAAAAGGACATATTTATTTTCATGGTGAGCAATTAAAATGTAGAATTCACTGTCAGAAGATGTAGTGATTTGCCAAAAGCACAAACAGCTTTAAAAGGCAATTAGACAGATTAATGGAGGACAGGTCTATCGGTGACTACTAGCCATGATGACTAAAGGAACCTCCACATTCTGAGGCAGTAAACCTCTAAATGCCAGTGCCAGGAGACAACATCAAGGGAAGGCCTCAGACTATATGCCTTGTTGTTGGCCCTCCAGAGTAACTGGTTGGCCACTGTGTGAGACAGGATACTGGACTAGCTGGATCACTAATTTGATCCAGCAGGGCTCTTCTTATGTTCCTAACTGCTTTGCTGGAACAGAACCACATCCACCTAACCGAGCATTTTGCTTTCAACAGCAGCCAGTCAGATAACTCTGGAAGCTCAGGAGCACAGCATGAAAAACAATGGGCATGATCTTTTTTGCCCTTAGCATCTGACTACTGAATGCATTACATATCAAGATTGGTTAAAATGCTTAGGGCTGTTCAGCGAAGAAAAAAGGAGAGTAAGGGTAGACATGACAGAGGTTTATAAAATTATGCAAGGGATGAAAAGGGTGGGCAGGGAGAAACTTTTCTCCCTCTCCCATAATACTACAACCCGGAGTTATCCACTGAAGTTGAAGTGTAGGAGATTCAAGACAAAGGAAATATTTCTTCACACAGCATACACACATAATTCGTGGAACTCACTGCCACAGGATGTGATCATGTCCACCAACTTGGAAGGCTTTAAAAGCAGAGTGGACAAATTTATGGAAGACTGGGCTATCAATGGCTAATGAGCATGGATATCTACTCCCTCCAGTACCAAAGGGAGCATGCCTCTTTAAATCAGTTACAGGGGAGCTCAAGCAGGATGATGCTGTTGCAGTCTTCCTGTTTGTGGGCTTCCTGGAGGTAGCCGGTTGGCCACTGTGTGAACAGAATGCTGGACTACATGAACCTTTGGGCTGATCCAGCATGGCCCTTCTAATGTTCTTAAATTTCTTTCCGTACACACAAGATAGATGGTAACAGAAAACTGGCCTATGGATATCAGTATACTTGAGAAATCAAATATTAATAAATCGTGGTCTGTTTCCAAGCAAGCCACATCAACCAAATTGTTCAAGTTGTCTCTCCCTCCCTCCCTCAAACACAAACACCAAGTTTTATGCAACTACAACAGGACACTGAATACGAAACACATCAGCCAAATTCTGCACTTGCCTCACCTGCTATGTTATCTTTGGTTTCTGTGTGCACAGCCACAAGTGCATCACATGTGCTATTTCCCAACAATCCTAATCCTTGTAACAGCAGCTTGACATCATGGCAATCCAATGAATTCTCATCGTTGTCCCCAGGAATGTATATCTCAATCCCACGATTCCGCATGGCTCTGGATATGTCCCCATGCGAAGGATCCATTGTGAGGAACAGCCTATTGTATGCCCACACAAGAACAGTAGTTTACTGAGGGTGTTTAGCATATCATTAGCATAGCTTCTCTTCCTACAGGGTGGGTGAATATTTGTAAATAGGCATCTGTTTGTTATGTTTAGTGGCCACAGTTAAGAACCATCTCAGCAGAACATTTCAAGCTAGTTCAGTTTATGCTTTTAGCTTCCAGGATAGTTTGTTTTTGTAAATGTTTGCTTGGAGCCTTTGTGGATATAAGGAGACTACCACCACATGCAGCCTCACCATTGCAGCATGTCAGAAGTGCAATGAAGACACTGCTGTTTCATCTTTTCTAAGTAAACATGGTAGCTTTTATGGGTACTGCTACTGCAGTTAGCCCCTCTCTGTCATACAGTTGCATAAGCACATGTTTGGGGCAGAATAACACACTGCTGTATTGCCTTGGCAGAATATATGAGCACCATCTTTTTGACCTCAGTCTCAAAAATGAGGAGTGAGAGTGTGTGCTGGCACTCATGACAACATGCTACTGCATTTCTCCAACTGAGCAAAGTTCTCTGTCAAACATAGTTTGAAAGGCAGCAACAGGACTGTATTTGAAAAAAGCTATTTCGTTCATTTCATAACCCACAATGCATAACCTAGCATGGCAGACACCATGGTGCTGAGGGGGACCACGCTGGGGATCACTCATCTAGCAATAACGCATTCAAAAGAATACACAGAGAGTATGTACCTGAAATTTGGGTGAGGAGTGACAGTGGGGGTTACACCATCTATTACTCCTCTTTCACTCATGGTTAGGACCCCACCAGGTTCAAGCAGAGCATTCAAACGGTCCAAAACAGAAGGGCTGTATTTCAGAGGAGACAAACAAGCAGTTAAGTTGTGAACCTGATTCAAACAACACTTACTTGGATTCACAATTACAACATTTTTAAAAGGAGCTCATTTTTACTTTTTTTAAAATATATTTATTTTTCAATTTCTTCAATTTTTCACTCAACATATTCGTACCAATCTTATACATTTCATAACATAACATTCTTCTATCTTCTATAACATTTTCAGCTTTTAACTAGCCTAATTTTAAGTTAATTTTATCTTCTTTATCTTCAGCCAATCGTAAATTATTCTCCATCTATCCCAGAAGAGTTTCTCCGATTTATTTTGTAGCTCTATGTTTAATCTATCCATTGCTGCTACTTCCAGGATTTTATGCTTCAGATCTTTTATAGATGGTATACTTTTAGTTTTCCAACGCTTTGCTATCAATATTCTAGCCGCTGTTAAAATATAGGTAATTATATGTTTATGGTCTTTTATTGTGTCCGGTATCATGTTAAGTAGATACGTTTATGGAATTAACGGGATATTAATTTTTAGACAATCTGAGAATATTTTATATATTTTTTTCCAAAAAATCTGGATTTTATCACATCTCCACCAAATGTGGAGATATGAACCTTTGCTTTTCCTGCATCTCCAACATATATTTGAGGCTTCCGGAAGGAGCTCATTTTTATTTTTAAAAAATACTGTTTGAGAAGCGGCACAGGGCTGCCTCAGCTTTCCCAGACCTCATCTTCAACAAGACTTCTAAGCCTCCAATAACGTATAGTTTGTTGCTGTTCAGTCATGCAGTCAAGTCCGACTTTTCGCGACCCCATGGACCAGATCACACCAGGCTCTCCTGAATTCTGCCGTCCTCTGAAGTGTGCTTAATTTCATGTTCGTTGCATTGATAACACTGTCTAACCATCTCATCCGTTGCCATCCCCTTCTTCTTTGACCTTCAATCTTTCCCAGCATCAGGGTCTTCTCCAGTGAGTGCTCCCTTCTCATTTGGTGGCCAAAGTGTTTGAGGTTCAGCTTCAGTATCTGGCCTTCCAGGGAACAGTCAGGGTTGATTTCTTTTAGGATTGACTGATTTGATCTCCTTGCAGTCCAGGGGATTCTCAAGAGTCTTCTCCAGCACCATAATTCAAAAGCATCCATTCTTTGGCGCTCAGCCTTCCTCACGGTCCAACTCTCACAGACATACATTACTACTCGGAATACCATTGCTTTGACCATACAGACTTTTGTTAGCATGGTGATGTCTCTACTTTTTATTATGCTGTCTAGGTTTGCCACAGCTTTCCTCCCAAGGAGCAGGTGTCTTAATTTCATGGCTGCAGTCACCGTCGGCAGTGATCTTGGATCCCAGGAACATGAATTCTGTCACTGCTTCCATGACTTCCCCTTCTATTTGCCAAGGAGTGATGGGGCCGGATGTCATGATCTTAGTTTTTTTGATGTTGAGTTTCAAGCCAACTTCTGTGCTCTCCTCTTTCACGCTTAGGAAGAGGCTCTTGAGGTCCTCTTCACTTTCTGCCATTAGATCCAACTAATCATATAGCAAATGTAATAAGAGTGACCCTTTTGGAAGTGGAGATGGCAGGATATATAGATAAAGATGTTTTGCGTTTTCTGACTAATGACAACCCAAGGGTCTCAATATTTTATACACTGACCAAAATACATAAACAAGACCAACCACCAAAAGGGATACTGACAATTTCACGTAGCAAATCTTTGTTGGAACCCCTGTAAAAGTTTGTGGATCATTTTTTGAGCCCCTTTGTTACCAAGAACCCTTCTTACATAAAAGATACCACACATTTTATTTCCAAAGTGGAGGGACAGATGTTGTCAACAAACATGGTCTTTTCGACAATGGATGTTACATCACTGTACACTAGTATTCCCTTAGAGGAAGCTAGAAGAGTGGCAGAGTTTTTCGTAGAACAGAGACCAGATCTGAACCCACCCACACATTTTTTATTGAACTCGTTGGAAGCTGTGTTGGAGAAAATTTACTTCCATTTTGATGAGGACTTTTACTTTCAGGTGAAAGATGTTGCAATGGGAAGTGCAGTAGCACCCTCGATACCCAATCTATATATGGCCCTTTTGGAAAAGAATTACTAAATAATGGGGTTCAGAATTCCTATTACACATCAATCAAGATGTGAAATAGGTTTATAGATGACGTGTTTGTACTGTATGAGCCTGAAGAAACAGTGAATGCCTTTTGTACATGGTTAAATAGAGTGCATGAGAATATAAGCTTCATGTGGCAATAAGCAAGCAGAGTATTTCTTTCTTGGATACAGAAGTGTATAAAACAACTATGAATACAGTAGCAGTAAGGATTTTTAAAAAATCAACAGACAGGAACACTTACTTGCACTATAAGTCTTTTCATCCTGTCCATTTAAGACGAGATATTCCCATGGGACAATTTTTGAGGGTTGAGTGCAACAGTACATCACAGGAAGATTTTATTAGAGATAGTAAAATTTTGGCAGATCAATTTTTGGCAAGAGGTTACCCATGGGATGTAGTGGAACAATCATATAAGAGAGCTAGAGACACAGATAGAACTATTCTATTACAGAAATCAGAAAATAAAAGAAAAAGGAATATTATAAATTGGACCATTACATATACCCCATTGGCTATAAGAATCAAGAAAATTGTATACAAATACTGCCTACTCCTTAGGGATATCCCTGGTTGTGAAACCCCACTCCGTTTATAGGGTACAGGAAAACAGAAAGTGTAGAGGATTATATAGTGAGATCAGACATAAAGAAGAATAGGAATCTGTCCAGTGTTTTACCAGTTGGATTTTTTGCCTGTAGGAATTGTAAAGTATGTCCCTTAGCACTTGAGGGAAAGGAAATAACTCTGCCTGGTAATAATATTAAGTTTCTTTAAATTCGTTTGTGACGTGTTCATCGTCACACGTAGTATATCTTTTGGTTGTGCCTGTCAGAACATGTATGTGGGTTATACTGGACGTCCACTAAAAGTACGTATACTGGAACACATTTCTCGGGTAAGACATAAAAATCAAGAAGCTTCGATTACTAATCATTTTTTAATAAAGGGCCATAAAGAAAATGATTTCAGATTTACTGTTCTATACGTGGGTGACCCCAAGGACAAAAACTGATTGGGATCCCTACAAAGACAGGAGAAAAAGTGGATTTTTAAATTGAATACATTGGAACCCTTTGGGTTAAATACTGAATTTGATTTGGGTTGCTTCCTTTGATCTACATATTAATCCTAATGGGATGTTAAATTGCAGCCCTATATATCATTCCCAAGATGTATGTATGGGGCTTTACGTCTGTGCAAAAATTGAATGTGCATAGCTTTAAATATGTGTGAAAAACTGGGGCTGTTTTCTCTCACCCTATTGTCTTACAGATGCAAATTCATTTTGTAATATTTTGTAATGTTTAATTCTTAATATTTGCAATCAGATTGTTTTACATGAACTAACCTAAAATGTATGTGTATAGCTTTAAATAGTTGTGAGTATTGGTTAGAAATAGAATCTCTTCCTATGTTACTTAACCTGCCTTTGGTCTAGATTAGAAACCTCTGTTAATGATTGATAGTATGCACCTGAAGCAGTTTAGAAAAGATCTTTAAAGGGCAGCACGTAGCTGTTTTTTACATAATAAAATGATGTAAGCTAGAAAGGAAGAAAGAGCAGGAAAAAAGTTGCAGAAAAAAATATGAAAGGGTGAGTTATTTTGGGTTTTTTTCCTTTATAAACAAAAGTACTCTGACTTCTGTTTGGGTGCATTCAGACTAAAAGTGGTGAAAATTTTATGTATTTTTGTATATTTTCTAGTGTAAGGTCTCATCTGATGAAACCTTGAGTGAAATGGTCTATTGAGCGCTGTACCGTCAAAAACTTGAGACCAATTTATTTCAAAGAAAACAACTTTAATGGTTTGTTACTCACGGGATAATTAAAGAAAATATATTTTCCCCTAAATACAACTTTGTTATCATATCACGGTTGTTTTCCTACGAAGTTCAGCCTGTCCCGTGATCTCTTGTCCTTGACTTCATTAGAGTGGTATCGTCTGCATATCTCAGGTTGTTGATGTTTTTCCTGGCAATCTTAATTCCGGCTTGTGATTCATCCAGGCTGGCATTTCACATGATGTATTCTGCATATATATTAAATAAGCAGGGTGGCAATATACATCCTTGTCATACTCCTTTTCCTATGCTAAACCAATCAGTTGTTCCATATCCGGTTCTAACTGTCACTTCTTGACCCTTATACAGGTTTCTCAGGAGACATGTGAGGTGGTCTGGTACTTCCATCTCTTTAAGGACTTGTTACAGTTGTGATCCACACAATCAAAGGCTTTAACGTAGTCAATGAAGCAGAAGTGGATGTTTTTCTGGTACTCCCTTGCTTTCTCCACAATCCAGCAAATGTTAGCAATTTGATCTCTAGTTCCTCTATCTCTTCGAAACCCAGCTTGTACTTCTGGCAGTTCTCTATCCACGTACTGCTGAAGCCTAGTTTGTAGGATCTTGATCATGACCTTGCTAGTGTGTGAAATGAGTGCAATTGTGCGATAGTTTGAACATTCCTTGGCATTATTTTTGGGGGGGATTGGAATGTAAACCGACCTTTTCCAATCCTGTGGTCACTGCTGTGTTCTCCAAATTTGCTGGCATATTGAGTGCAGCACTTTAACAGCATAATCTTTTAAGACTTTGAATAGCTCAGCTGGGATACCATCACCTCTGCAGCTTTGTTGTTAGTAATGCTTTCTAAGGCCCATTTGACTTCACACTCCAGGATGTCTGGCTTAAGGTCAGTGTCGTGATGGTGACAAATGTCACCATCGTGACATTTAAATCCTTTTTGTATAGTTCTTCTGTGTATTCTTGCCACCTCTTCCTAATCTATTCTGCTTCTGTTAGGTCCCTACCGTTTTTGTCCTTTATCATGGCCAGCTTTGCATGGAACATCCCCTTGATTTCTCCAATTTTCTTGAAGAGATCTCTAGTCCTTCCCATTCTATTGTTTTCATCTATTACTCTGCATTGTCTATTCAGGAAGGCTTCCTTATCTCTCCTTGCTGTTCTCTGGAAATCTGCATTCAGTTGGGTAAATCTTTCCTTTTCACCTTTGCCGTTCACTTTCCTTCTTTCCTCAGCTATTTGTAAAGCCTCATCAGATAGCCACTTTGCTTTCTTGCATTTCTTTTTCATTGGGATGGTGCTGATTGCTGCCTACTGTATAATGTCATGAACCTCCATCCATAGTTCTTCAGACACTCTGTCTATCAAATCTAGTCCCTTTAACATATTCTTCACCTCTACTGTATATTCGTAAGGAATGTGATCTAGGTCAAACCTGAATGGCCTAGTGGTTTTCCTGACTTTCTTCAGTTTAAGCCTGAATTTTGCAATGAATAGCTCATGATCTGAGCCACAGTCAGCTCCAGGTCTTGTTTTTAATGACTGTATAGAGCTTCTCCATCTTCCACTGCAAATTATATAATGACTACCCTACGTTCTCCTACAAATGGACCTTGAGCTTGTTTGGAGGTTCTAGCAGGGGAGCGCACATGGAGCGGTGAGGGTGGTAGGGGACACCCGCCTAGCCAGCCTGATCAGCCAAATCAACCCTGGTGATCAATGGGGTGACAGATGTCGCAGTCAGATCGCCCTCACATCCACAAATTATATAATCAATCTGACTTCAGTGTTGTCCATCTAGTGATGTCCATGTGTAGAGTCGCCTCTTAGGTTGTTGAAAGAGGGTGTTCGCTATGGCAAGCATGGTTGACAAAACTCTGTAACCTTTGCCTGACTTCATTTTGTTCTCCAAGGCCAAACTTGTCTGTTATTTCAGTTACCTTTTGACTTCCTACTTTAGCATTCCATTCCCCTATGATGATAAGGACATTTTTTTTTTAGTGTTAGTTCTAGGAGGTGTTGTAGGTCTTTATAGAACCAGTCCACTTCAGCCTCTTCTGCGTCAGTAGTTGGGGCATAGACTTGGATTACTGTGATGCTGAATGGTTTGCCTTGGATTTGGACTGAGATCATTCTGTCGTTTTTGAGATCGTATCCCATTACTGCCTTTTTCACTCTCTTGTTAACTATAAAGGCCACATCATTTTTCTACAGGATTCTTGGCCACAGTAGTAGTAGATAGAATGGTCTTCTGAGTTAAATTCGCCCATTCCTGTCCACTTTAGTTCACTGATTCCCAAGATGTCAATGTTCAGTCTTGCAATCTCATTTTTTACCACATCCAACTTACCTTGATTCATAGATCTTACATTCCAGGTTCCTATGCAGTATTGTTCTTTGCAGCATCGGACTTTCCTTTCACCATCAGATATATCCAACTCTTTCTGGGGTTACTTGTACTTGCCCTCTGCTCTTCCCCAGTAGCATGTTGGACTCCTTCCGACCTGAGGGGCTCATTTTCTGGCGTCATATCTTTTATCCTGTTGTTACTGGCCATGGGGTTTTCTTGGCAAAGATACTAGAGTGGATTGCTATTTCCTTTTCCAGTGGATCATGTTTTGTCTGAGTTCTCTGCTGTGGCCTATCCGTCCTGGGTGGTCCTCCATGGCATAGTCCACAGCCTCATCGAACCACCAAGCCCCCTCACCACGTCAAGGCAGTGATCCATAAGAGAGGGTAACTTATAGTAGCTGATGACTTTCAAGCTATATTCACCCAAATAAATCACATTAAACTCATGATTGGCATGAATCTCCCCCCCCCTATGCAACATGCAAAGATTGAAGACAGTAGTCACTGATTCATCCTGGCTAAGGATCCCTTGAAAAGACATAAACTTCAGTCTCTAAGGACACTGACACTCAGACATCATGCCAAAACTGCCGCTCCCCTAAGAGAGCTAGAAGTAATACTTAATATGGCAATGCCGGGTTCCAGAAACGAGCAAAAATCCATGATTTTATTCATCTCCTAAAAGCAGAGTTTGAAACCTTCTTTGCCCATGGCAGATAGATGAAATGGTATAAATCGGGCATCTGATGTGTGGAAGGCCGCTGTGACACTTGGGTACATTTTCAGCTTTGTGGTTGTTCAGTCGCACAGTCGAGTCCGACTCTTCACGACCCCATGGACCAGCTCCCGCCAGGCCCTCCTGTCTTCTGCCGTCCTCTGAAGTTGGCTCAATTTCATGTTCGTTGCATCGATGACACTGTCTAACCATCTCATCCTTTGCCTTCCCCATCTTCTTTGACCTTCAATCTTCATTTTCAGCTAAGCATATATAAATTAGGCTGTTTCCTCTCACCAGGGATGGGTGCAGGCAAAAGGATGGAAAAATACATTCTTAGTTTCTGTGGCAGGATGTATTAATCTCTATAATGAAGAAGAGATCAGTTCAAAGCACCATCGCACTTCTGTGAGACATATAGCTCATTCCTATTACTAGCCGAAAAAGTGCTTGACTCTTTCAGCAGAGGTATTAGCCATAAACAAAAGAACCCTGAGAGAGAGGTTTGAGAAGTCTGAAAGGGGTTTCAATAATCTCCTGGAGTATCTTTTGAAGGTCCCATGTGAAAAGACAAAATAACAGAGATTGATGAGCAAGCATGTCCTGAACAGTGTCAACTGTGCATGTGTGTTCATTCAAGGACAAAGGACGGCTGTCCTTTCCACGTTGTAATTTGTTCCTTCTAGGCACTGGGGTGCAAGCCCAGCTTAAGAATCCAAGCACCTCCTTTACTCCTGCAGATAAGAAGCTAATGTGTTTCTGGCAAAATTACATGGTGAATACTTGGCATGTTAACAAATACTCTATCGGTAGAGGCTCTTTTGGAGATCAGCCCAGGGATGATGACAACCTGGATTAATCAAAGGATTCTAGGATTTCCCTTTCAGCTTCCAGATGAAAAGACAGAGCCCATCTTGGGTCACACTGAGGGAGGGGACCTTGAATGAGTGGGCTGTGGACAAGAGACGGTGTATGGTAATAGGAACTACCAAGAACATAACTTTCTCAACAGGCCTTTTTAATGTGTCTGGCCATCAGGAGACTCAGAGGAGAGGCATGCAGTACATCCTGGGCTCATAGATAGGTGAAGATATGCTTGCCTTACTCCTCCCACTGAAGCATGGAGAAAAATCTGAGTAGCTTGTTGTTGGGCCAGGGAAGCAAACATGCCCAGAGCTGGCTGACATAACCTTGCAACGGCTGCATGGACAACTGTCAGGTTATGGGCTGGGATCCAGTATCCTGACAGCTCACAGCTGGTCTGCCTTGGTGCTGAATGTTCCTTGAAGTTGTTGGGCAACCCCTGATAAGGTACGGCATTTCATACACACACAAAGATTCCACCCTCCCCATTCATGCATTTATTTTCCATGAGTACTAAATTTATTTTTTTTCTGCTAGCCTGCTTTTAGAAAGTGAGTTAGGATTGCTAGATGCAAATGCACTACAAACATTATTTTAATACCAGATTAAAGATGTCCAGTTGCATGAACTAGAACGGTGAAATTAATGGACCAGGAGGAAAACAAGATCATTGTATCTACTGCTGTGGTTTTACCTGCAGAAGTTCACATTGTCCAGCAGAAGCCAGTCTCCAGACTGTAAAGCCTGCACCAACATTCCGTCAACCCACTTGAAAGTTCCATGGTTGCTGCAATTCAAAAACTGAACCACCTGCAACCTGAAGCATCTAAACTCTTCCATGAGCCTTGAGAACTCTGAAACAGAACAGAATGAGATATATTTCAACAAAGCAAGAAGCCGCTGTTCAAATTTTGTACAGTCCCTAAACACACATACTCACCATGCAAGAAAGAGACTGGGTTTGAGTCTGTGTTTGTCTTACTAATGGTGGAGCCTGCACTGGTGAAACAACATCACAAGACCCAACCCAATTATCCACTGCAACCTCCCTTTTAACAAGGCATATTGTCTTTCCTCTACCTTTATTTTTCACTTTCTTTTTTAACTGCTAGCCTCCAGAAACTTTAAAAGAAACAGATTTATGAAAGGGAAAAAAATGAATTTTCATTTCCTGTGGTTCTGGGAATGCAGCAGTCATTATTTCTGGGAAACAAGTATAATTCTCTGATAGAAGAGGCTTCCTATGATTGCCCAGACCAAACTTGAAAAGTACCCTTCACTACCCAAAGGAATCTCAGAGTGGCTTACAAACTCCTTTCCCATGGGAGTGCCCAGAGGTCAGAGTATTCTGGACAAAAATATTACAAATTATATAAAAGACTTGTAAAGCATCATTACACATTAACTTTAATTTAATGCTAATGAGTATAGTAGGTAATCCAGCAATAAGCAAAGAGAACCAAGCTTTGTTTAAAGCCATGATACTAGCAGGCAAAGCAGTAATAGCTCTAGGTTGGAAGAACAAAAATAAATGGACAGTAGAAATCTGGCATAATTATTTGTTTGATCTCATACAGTCCGACATAATCGAAAAGCTGGAACGTAAGGCCACATGGAAAGACAAGACTACGGAGATCACGATGAAGTGGAAGACCTACCTGGAATGGATACCGACAGAAGAAAAGACATTCAGAGCAAGATTCGGACTTTGTGCCCGTGGCTGGGAATATAGGACTAAAGCACCGGGATAGCATAGGGGGGAGGGGGGAAACTACTATGTAAACGCATGGTTAAAAGATAATATGTAAAATTTGTGTAAAACAATTAAAAAAATAAATATTAAAAAAAATATTAACAAACTCCTTTCCCTTTCCCTCCCCACAACAGATACCCTGTGAGGTAGGTGGGGCTGAGAGAGCTCTGACAGAAACTGTTCTTTTTCAAGAACAGCTGTGCCAGAACTATGGCTTGCCCAAGGTCATCCAGCAGCGCAAGTGGAGGAGTGGGGAATCAAACCCGGTTCTCCCAGATTAGAGTCCGAGCACTTAACCACTACACCAAACTGGCTCTCGACCCATTTTCTGCTCCCCCTGGTTTTTTGCAGAGAGCAGGGGTTTAAATGGCTCCCAGCTATTTCATCACCCCTTGCTTTCTGCTTTTCATGAACCACCACAAACAGCATCGAAATACATGAAAGCTCATGGCAGTTCTTCAGTTCACCAACATTGCTTCACGAACTGGCCAAACTTTGTAATGAACTGTAGTTCATCAGCCGGTTCGTGCCCATCCACAATCTGTAACTGCACCAATCACTTCTATAATAAAGCTCCTTCCAACATAACTAACATGACAGAGGAAAACAGAAGATGGGAAAAGATAGAGACACATTCCATTGGCCTCTAACTGACATATCCAGCTATAAATGTGTTACTGTTCTTCCCACAGAAGGCAAATGCCTGATGTCCTCATAAGCCTTCTATTATATATAAAAAATGGTCTCCTTTTTTTTCTTTGGGAAGTGTAGACTGTTCCACTCATGAACAAAAATCCATAATGATTGACAAATGTTACTCTGGTGGTTCTAGTGTGGGGCAGACCTTTCTTTTCAGTTGTCCATGCTCCCCCACCCCGCCTTTCCTTGAGAAAACTTATCTCGATTTTTTCATGAGACAAACTCTAAGAGAAAACCAGAGATAAAGAGGGATCAGAAGAGAAGCTCAATGTGAACTCTACAAAGATATATGGAACAGAGTCAACTGGAACAAACAGAAGCCAGAATTTCTCTATGAAAACATCTTGCATCAGTTTCTGTAGTGTCCATACATACCTGGCCTTGGACAGGCATTGACCCTGTTGTTTAGCCGTTGGACAAGTGACACCAGACCATCTAATTTAGTCACGAATTCGGTGAGATTTTGATTCCCTTCTCCCAGAGATTTGGGTTTGAAATTTAGGATGAAATTGCTCCAAGCACGTAATACAATTTCAATGTCATCTGAGTGGATAGTAGTATGGAGAAGGCTCCCCCTTACAAGCATGTTCACAACGTTTTCCACCTTCTCCAGCAAGCTCTTCCACGGCCTAATGATATCAACCTATGGGACATTTTTAGAATTAGTTGTCACGAGACACTAACATTACTTAATTCTTTGGCCATGTTATTAGCCAAATAAGTAAGAACTAGTTCTACACTGCTTATGCACTGTTAACGCTCTGTGAATATTTTAACCCCTTCATTAAACACCACAAGCAAATAATTTGATGTTTAGACACTGGTTAGTTTTGAGTCCTGCAACTAGTGTTAGGAATGCATACTGCCATCGGGTCTATCTCCAATGCTTTCTAGATCTGGGGTTTTTCCTCAGAAGATACAGTCACCCCAGTCCAGCAATGATGACTTCTGTACCAAAACACACATGGCCTAATAGCTTTGGGACATGTAGTACTTGCAAATGGGTGCTTTGCATGCAACTTCCAAGACAGGATTAGGAACCACACTCACAGTGTCAAGCAGATTATTTGGGCTGCTTGCCAATCACTTGCTTGGAGGAAGTAGGGTAGAAGAATAAATCCTCATATACCCTCTCCTAGCTATCTCTTCCAATAAGGAAAAACAGGAACCTTAACTAAACCTCCCGATTCCTCGAAATGGGTAATCAGCACATAGGTCAAGATGGACACCTTGCTGCTGTAGGAAACTCACATGTGCCTTTCTAACAATACAATCATATGCAGATTTGCTCCACTGACATCAGTGGAGAGGCTGGAGTAACTCTGCACAGGATTGCACTGTAAATGAAAAGTTGGTATAGCTTCTCATGGGCACATTTTCATAAATCAAATGACCCAGCCATAGGCCTCTCAGATGATTTTGTAAGCGTTTTCCCTTTTTAAAAGAGAGGTACAATTCTCTGCCAACATGGCACAGAATTTACCGGGGCAGTATAACACAGAGGAACATTACGGCAGATCCACAAAATGAGGACTGGACTGAAATGGCCAGCATTTCCTGAAATGAAGACAAACTAGTTCTTAGTTTAAAATAATTCCATTAAATTCTGTTTACAAACATTAGTAAATGAAATTTCCGTTTGTATTTAATACACCTTCTAACTGAGCTGGTTCTATTTACAAATGAGTAGTTAACCTAAAGTAAACACAACACTTACTTGTTCAAATCCTCCTAAAAGCTCTGTTGTGTCCATAGAACTATTCACTGCCATGATCTTTAACTTATGTCCTGATAGATATGCCAGAAGCTGAACCAGACTGGTCTTGCCAGCAGAGGCAGGGCCCACTAGTATCACCATCCAGTTCATGTGCACACATTTCATGACAGATTCCAAAGGCTGGAGGGAATGGTGGAGCAATGACAGATTTCTGCCAGGAGGAGGAACACAGTTGGCACGGGGGAGGCTTGAGAAACCAACCTTCAATAAAATGGGGGGAAACAAACTTCAGTATGTTATGTTGTGTGGAAACAGGGTGGGAGGGAATGGGAGCAAAGACTGGATACACAATTTCTCTTACCTGAACGTCATAAGGAGTGATATGGAACTGTCTGGTTCCCATATATGGATTAGCATTCTGGCCAAAAATGTCCTTGAATACAGATACTACCTAAAGCAGCCAAAAAAGGAGGTCAGACAACATGTCAGAGGAATGTTGAAACCCTCACCCCTCATTTCTACTGCAATCCCACCAAGCTGCATATATTTAAACAAAAGCAGAAGCTGTTGGAAGACTGGTAAAAATAGGAAATTGTGTTTCATCAGCTCACCCTCCTGACCCTCATGATGTCCCTCATGATGTCCCAGGAAGATAATAAAGAAAGCTCCCCTGATTTTAGTCTGATATCCACAACATAGGTTGGATCCACCAGAGGAGTTCATGGAAGCTGTTGGAGGAGTCTATCTCCCCCTTTGACTCTTCCACAAGCAGCCTGTTGTTGGTCCTAAAACTCCTCTCCAAGGATCAGTAGAGCAAGAAACTAAGCAACATGTTGGAGGGTGGGGCAACAGTGACAATGGAGAACCAACTAAAGTCGTCGTTTTTTCTCTCTTCCACAGATGCAAGCCACAAATGGAAGATGGGAAAAGAGTTGATTTCACACAACTCCCCCTCATCACTGCAGCCCCAGTTCTGGGGCTCGTTTTGCTTATAAGGCTCCTCTGCTGTTTCTCAGAGACTTTTAGGACAAACAGCAGGTTGTTTTGTGGAGGGGAAGGGAAGGCAGGGAAAGATTCCTTCCATCAACTCTTCTGGCAGATCCAACCCCATATGTATAACCAAAGTGCAATCTGTAATGTCATAAGATGGTGTGAAATCTTCACAACTGTTTTGCAAGTAGGATTGCTACTTTTAATTGATTTAATCAATTGGTTGTTTCTGGGCACAACTGGAGATGTTGGCATTGACCTTTAAAGCCCTATAATAATGGATGTATCAACATACTGTATTTAATACATTCAAATTTTATGAGGGCTCTTTCACATGATATACCTGCAGAAGTGAAACAGTAATTATTTAAGATGTCTGATGTTTAATTTTTGAATAACAATTCTTAAAATGGCTAAAACAGATATTCCCTCAAATATACACTCAAAAAAAGAGCAAGAATCACTAACAGGGCCAAGTATATTCTGTGTACTCCATACCTTCTTTCTGTCTGCTTCTGTCCTCATCCTGTCACCGTATATCAAAAACATGTGCTGGCCTGGATCATAAATGCCAGGCGATTGGTCAAGTAGCATCACATGACACCATCGAAAAAGGTCACGAAGATTGAACTCCCAAGGACTACCTTTATGTCCCCACTTCTTCTCAATCATAACCTCTTGGTTAATCTGAAAACATATCAATTCACAAGATTAAATATTTGAAAGGCTACCCCAGAACATTATTTCCACAATATCCAAGGATACCAATATCCTATTTTATCACTCTTTGAGGTTGTAACAAAATGGCTGCCAGACAGAGGCAGCAATACCTTAAAATGGCTGCCAGTCTGGTAGTCCTCTGGAGGGGGGAGGTGCTCCATAGGGAACAATGGGGCTGCCATACCTCCCTGCCTACATTTCCCAGAAGCTTTAGGGGAAAAGTGCAGGAAAGTATGAACCCACCCTGGGGGCGGATCCTGGCAGAAAAAGGCTTTGGCCCTCCAGGGAGGCTTTTAGTCTCTGCCTAGTCTTGGCCTTTGGCTCAGCTTGGATGGCAGTTTCAAGGGAGCATACAGGTGGGACTCCTCCTACCCCACACTCCGTGGGCAAAATTGTGGTGGAGAGCCAAGGAGAGTAGCAGTACTGGTGACCAGTCCTGAGGCGGGCTGGAGTTTCTCTCCACAACAAGGAGGGGGAAAGCAAATCCTGTCCTGAGGCCACCACCTCCAGAGATAGAGAGGGTGGGTGTAGGGACAGAGGAATTGTGTTTTAATCCTGTTTATTTTCTGAGCCCGGTTGTGTTGAAGTGCCTGTGTTAATTTTTGTGCCTAACTTGTATATAGTTCAAATAAACCTTTTTGATTTATAAGACCTGGAAGTTCCTTGACCACTTAGTCCTCCCCGCTCAGCACATTACCAGAGACAAAGGGAGGCCAGAGAACCCAAACAGGCCTAAATTGGAGTACTTGCCAACTCTCCAGGGGGTGCCCAAAGATTGAGGTACCCACTTTCCCGGGTTGGGGAGTCAGCCAGAGGGGTCTCACTGTCCCTCTAGGAAGGCGGTGTGAATCCAGTGAGTGGTGGCAGCGAATGAAGAAGGGAAATAGCCCCACCAGGCAGGGTGGGCAGGCAAAAACAGGCTTGTGAGCCACCGAACGGCTGCTTAGTCTCCCAGGGTTGAAGGCGGGTCCCTGTTTCACCACAGAGGCCGACATCACTTTTAAGTAGGTCTGCCCTCCATTCATAATATATGTTCATATTGTAGAAGTCTTATTACAAGTAGACAAACTACGTCAATATTACTGGCATGAAGACAACTTGGTTTGATTGGCATCTTTATCAAGATCAAAAAATGTTTGTGCCATCTTGTTCCAAGGGCATCAGCTACAAATTCTGTGCAGAAGATGCCCTGTTATCATGGCTACTTTGGCACGATTTGCTTCTTATATATTTGGATTTATTTCTCCTCTGGCACCTGAATGTCATCAGACCCAAAAAAATCTACAGTGATCATTTTATCAAGGGTAAATGTTGTTACCAGATTAACACTTACAACACTGAATTGGGGGGAAATATTTTGTATGCTCCACAGAAGCGGCTATTCCATTCTTTGATCAGCATTTTGAAGCACTGTTGCTCTTTTTCATTTTTTTCTTACTCATACCTACCGGGTTACAACAACCCTTGACTGCAGTATTAAAAATGAGAACATCCAGACACACCAAACAATCAGGAGTACTATTTAAAGAAACCAGAGGAAAAGTATGTTTACCCTGTTGTTGAATTCAACCATCTTCGCAATAAGTGTATCACCAATAGCAGGAAAAAGGGTGTTCCCAATGTACTCCATATCTGTTGCAGAAAGGGGGTCCACATAGACCTATGCCACCAACAACATTTTGAAAAACTCAATATGATTATGTAAACAGAAATGATGCATGCAACCACACAAAACCATCTTTCCAAGAACACCAGTAAAGCAGGTGTATCCAAACATGTATTCTGAAATGTGTATCAGAAATTTGTTTTGTCAACAACATTTCTCGGTATTAATTTAAAAACAAACACAAGAGAGCTCAAACTACAGAGTTGGAGCAATGTGGAAAAAAACACAAACAGTTTTGGCAAGCATGTAGAATATTCAAATGAACTGTACTATGGCTAGACCAATAGTAAACTTTCTGTTATTATAATGGAATCTGGAAAAAACCCAAGCAAAGTATCATGCTTTGTCATCCATTTCCCCAACCAGGTCCACTACAGACATAGCTTTCAGTATCTCTTGAACCCTGGTGAAAAAGACTGTGCATTTTTCCACAGGTTTCATACACTTCCCCCTTCGTCCTCTCTCTTGCTCAAATTCCCTTCATTTGTCATTGCTAACCATAATGAAGAAGTATGTTTGCACTGAACACTTAAAATGCAATCTAGACAAAAGCCTGTAAGAAAAACAGCACATTGGTAAACATACGCTAAGCAGTTTATAGATTCCTATGTTATAGCTGCATGCACTTTCAATTCAATGGCCACATAAACATATCATACTGAAACTTGCTAGCCACTTTGAATCTTTAATGCAAGCAAGCACTTAAATATGACAGATTCTTTTATGCTTTAAATTGACTGTTCAAATATCTTTTTACTGATCTCTTTAACATAATTTGATAGTATGCTTTTAGCTTGAGAGATGTTTAAGACCCATTATAAACTGCTTCATGTTCATGTTGCTTTATGCTCTGCTGTGTTTGAATGGTGGGTTTTAATAACTTTTATGATGCATTAAATGAGCCTGAAACAAAGCATTCAAAATCATCTGGGTTGTGAATTAAGATTCTCTAAAACTCTTAATGTCATCCATTTTAGATTGCTTAAAAGGCTTTAAGTAAGATCGTGGACTTGCCTGTGTGAATCGGTTAAGAAAGGATTTGGGCAGCCCCTTTCTGCCACCTCCTTGCCTGTAGGGATTTTGGCATCCAAAGATCTTTGTCTTCTTGTGTTGAACATGAAAGCTCAGCCCCAACTCAGGAATGTAAATCTCTGCCCGATGATCAAAACAAGCATTCAGTCCTTCCAGCACTGACTGAGAGGCCAAGTTCAGCTATCAGAGGAAAATCATAATGGGAAAATTACATCCTCCCTGAATTTGTAAGCCGCCCTGAGCCCGCCTAGTGGGGAGAGTGGGGTATAAATAAAATAAATAAAATAAATAAAAATATAAGTTTTAAAATACAAAAAACTTTCCATGTTTGCCATTTGACTCATATCCAGAATTACTACTTCATTCTCCCCAATCAAGTGGACAATTTTATATGTCAGGTAAATCAGTCAGTGAGACTATACCAATATTAGCAGGCACGGAATCCCACCTCCCTACTGCAGCAATAAGGATCTAGCCAACTTTTTTTCTATTTTCAAGCACCCAACTGCCTCTTGGAATTGATCTTTAAATGTTCAGTAAACTGGTATCAAAGACTTCTGGAGGGAGAGGTTCTGTGGCCAGCTCCTATCCTTACCATGCTCCTCCCGAAACATGAAAGGTAATCTGGATTAGAATGGGATTTAGTTACCGATGGTCCCCCACAACACACTTTACATCAGCAGCCAAGAGCTCACCTCATCTAATACAATCCAGTGACCAGCTTTTAAGGCTGCAAGCAAAGGTCCATCACGCCAGGCAAACTCGCCTCCTTTGCCCCCTTCAATGGGCAAGTCTGTTCCAAACAAATCTGTGACATCCTTGTAAGAGGGGACATAACCAAGTTTTTCAAATGCATACAACATAGTATTACTTCAGAAATAAACTCTCAGGCTTGCCCACATTTTTAAAGAAAGAAACCCATTCATAGTTTACTGTAGCAAAACCCAGAACTATTTTGTTCAATGTATCAGCTGCCACGGCCAACTAATACATTTGATTTTTAATGAAAGACACACTGAATGTGATTTTGGCTAGGATCTGGGATAGCAATCAAGGCTTTTATCGTAGCCGTCTATTACAGGCTCTTAAAAACTTTGGTTCTACGAGTATTTGCCCTTGCACTAAAATTTTGCACTACATATTTCATATTTTTGGAAAACGTTAACAATAACAGGTAAGGAGCAGGAACATACATGCTTGCTATTAACATGCTGCAAAGTTATCTGACAGCACCTTACTGGGATAGTGGTTAAAATGTTGGGCTAGGATCTGGGAGACCCAGGTGTGAACCCCACCCTGCCATAAAAACTTGCTGGGAGGAGAACATTATAAACCACTTTGGGCCCCACCATGGGAGAAAGGGCAGGGTACAAATAAGTAAATAATCTAACCCAAATATCCTCTGCCCCACCTCTGATCAATCAGCAGAATCTGAAAACTAAACAGATTCTGATATGTTAAACCAGCAAGTAGCCTATCCTGTTCTCAAAGTCAAACATTTCCGTTAAAACTACAGCAGCTGTATTACCGTTTGTTCAGAAAGGTTGATCCTAACAAGGGAATTTCCTGAAGCCTTTGCCAAGGCTGACACTAAGCTGGTTTTCCCAACACCTGGAGAGCCTTCCAGAAGAATGGGCTTGTTGAGTTGTAAGGCCCTTAACAACCGTTGTGCATTCATTGCTGTGGTACTTGCATTTAGAGCATAGTCTGAGACACTGTTCTTTTGGTAAAGAGGACCTACAACAAAGAGAAACTGTTTTTAAAAGTCAGACTACAGACTGACTAAGCCAGTTGCTATAAGATTTTTACCCCAATGGGGAAAAAAGGATGAAGTGAACAGGCTGGGGAATCCCATGTGAAATGACCCCTGGGAAAAATGTAGAAAGTTAGCCTGTTGGGGAGAAGCCTTCTCCCTGATATACTCCCTTTCTAGATACACAGATGGATTGGGTGTGTGTGAACATTGATGCTTCTTTAAAAATGCAATTCCCCAACTGGAGTCTGAAACAGGTCACTCTTGGGAAGACTATACCATATTAATTTTCTGATCATTTGACTTCACTCTGAAGCTCCAGTCACTTCTGTTCTTTCATTTGGTTTTTTTGCTAGATCATCCTTACCGTTTACTAAAAAATACAGAAATTTCTTGCCTCTTGGTATAAAAAATGGCTGAATTCCTACACAGTTCTCCATCCAAACAATTTCCCTCTTCTTCTTCAGGTCATAAATTCTCAGTTTGTTCTTCTGCCCCTCAGTGAGTTGCACAATTTGTGAAAGCTTTCCACACAAATATTCCAGACATTTTTCACGAGCCAGCAAAGCAGAATCAGCTGAACAGGTCATTGTGCCTAAGTTAATAAGGAAACCAAAGACAAATTACGTATTAATGACAGAACTGTACACACAGAGTAAGGTATGATGAGTTTTATAAACTTAGTCCACTGTCCAAGTCCACACTACAGTGACATACACTGTCTACCTACCACAATTTCCCCCACCCTTCCTCCAATCTCCATGGAGCATATCTGCTTCTTCCTTCATTCTTTCCTCATAGCAATCCTGTGAAGTATATTATGCCCAAGGTCCCTCAGTGAGCTTTAAAACTGAGTGGGGAATTTGATCCTGGATCTCTCTGATCTTAGTCTGACAAGTCTGGAACTGACTTCTACAGATTGCTGACATATATCTCCACGCAAACTTGACTATTTTTGCTCTTTATGGCCAATTTTACACAGACAAACCAGTTTGAAAGTCCCATGTTTATTATCAGAGAGCAGAGGGGCTAAAAAGGGATATTTTACTGCTAAGATGAACACAACAAAGCTCCTTAGCACAGAGGTCACCAAACAGTCCACTGTGAGCTACCTGTAGCTTTCTGTTTCCCAAAATAGTTTATGAAGGACACTCCCACCACACTAGCTGTTCAGTATTAACCTCTTGGTGCATAAGAGCAGATGAGGCCAGTATGCTCCTGGTCCCATCAGCTATTCAGCGCTTACGTGGTGAGCTGAAAGTCCACCTCCCAGAACCAAACAACTGATAATTAATTATTTATTTCAGTCAAAGACCAACACAAAAATAGATATAGGACCAGAAAAAATTACATAAAAACTCATTTTGTCATTCCATCCAGCCATATTCCAAGAAAGAAAATATATTTTCTGTTTATCTAATCAGTCATTCTTGCCTTTAGAGGTAGCAAGATTCCCTTTCTCCGTCTCCAGCTGGGGTTCCAGTAGGAAAGGGTCTCCAGTAGGAAAGGCCATTTGAACAAAAGGGCTCTGTGATGGACTGTCAAGGGGGTTAATGCCTCACAGAGTCCAAGAACCTTTGAGTGACAGGCTGTTCAAAGAGAACTCTGTGGAGTGTGTCAGTTACAAAATGACAGTTGGGAAGAGACAGTGTAGCACTCACTGAGGACTGAGAAAGAGGCTGAAGGAGTGAATGGATCACAGTGGATCCCCATTCAAGGCAAAAAGGGACAGAGCTTCTAGTCAAGAGAAGTAATCCTTGCCCAGTGAAAAAAGATAGCTCTAAAGAAAGGAGTGATCCCTGGTCTGTTTAGGGAACAAATAAAGATGTTGGGAACCTGGTTGTGTGTCCCTGCCTTCTAAAACTTGAAGAGTCAGTGAAACTCAGGAACTTATACTGGAGAGTTTAAGCTGACACTGAAAATAAAGCCTCTCCACTCAAAGTTTCCAAGACCTTGTTAAAAAGCAAAAGCATCTACTTGTTGGCAGCAAATTATCTTGAATTTAGTGTGATTACAAAGTTACCTCAGTTATTATCATCTGTTCACCTCATATATCCATCCCCTGATTGCACCTGGCCTTTTCCCTTCCAAGTTAAATAAAATATTTTGTTTATTTTGAACTTTCAAAAGTCTCGTGAGTGTCATTTCAGATAGTATAAGAAGATTATTTTGTCTATTTCCCTCAGTTCCCTGGGCTGGGCCAGCATCTAAATATATGGTAACGTGACTGGTTGGGACAGCCATAGACTAACAAAATAAGAAGACAATAGATATAGGGGCTGCTCAGCAAGAAAGAAGAAACAAAGAGAAAATCTTGTGCATGAGGGAGGGAAGAGGGTGAGATCACCATAGGTTCAAAGTGCCAGAAGATCTGTATGAAGTAAATTTTTGTGGACTAATCAATGGGTGTCCCTAAGCATATAAAAGGTCCCTTTCATTGTCCTGAGTTTTCTGTGCCTTAATATTTTCCAGAGTGACTATTACATTTTGCAGTCTTGAAAGCATATTATTTTTGCTCAGAAATGGGAAAGAAACTGAAGGATGCCAAAAGATTGCTTTCCAAATCCTCAGGGTGAGCCTGCATACTTTCCTGCACTGGAGAGCCAACCAGCAGAACACTCTTGTTCACCTCAAGGGAAGGGGAGATCAAATCAATCAGTGTCTTCTGATTCTCTGGTGAGCAGATGGTTGAACTAAATGCCTTATTTTTGTCAGTTAACACTGCCATTTCCCAGGAATGTGTGTGTGGGGGGAGATCCTTCTCCCCTCAGCCTGGTACACTAACGATGTCTCCTGTCTGGGTTGTTATCTGTTGATTTCTGACCTTGGGGTTCTAGCTGCTCCTGACCTGCTGGGAACAAACGGCTATTTTGCCCGCTCATGCGCACAATGCTTATTGGCTTCTGCTTGTAATGGGGGGTGTTTTGAAACTAGTATAACTCTGGGTGCCCTGCTGCTTTGGGCCATTCCTGACAAAAGATGTTCACATGTCATAGTTATGAACTACCAATAAACAGAATACTTCTTATGAAGCACTGTGTGGTGTGATCTGACTATCAAACCCTGAAAATTTTGAGGATTAATCTTAGGGTACCCTTTAGTCATTATTTGCTCTCTATATAGCCCCTTGATTCCTTATCTAAATTCTTTTCTTATAGATGGTGTGATGAAATGGCTGCCAGCCTGGTAGTTCCTTATGTGTGTGGGGGTACTCCATAGGGAACAATGGAGCTGCCATACCTCCCTGCCTTCACTTCCCAGCAGCCTTTAGGGAAAGAGCGTGAAAAGAGGGACACACCCCAGGAGCGGGGCCAAGGAGAAAGAGGTTTTTTGGCTCCTGAGGGGGAAAAAGTCTCAGTCCGATCTTCAGCGTGGACGGCAGGTTCAAGTGAGAGTACAGGTGGGGCTCCTGTTACCAGAGACTCCGTGGGCAATCCAGGCCACTATTGACTGTGGTGGAGAGCCAGGAGGGTAGCAGTACTGGTGGCCAGTCCTGAGGAGGAGGGCTGGAGTTTCTCTCCACAATGAGGGGGGAAAGCAAATCCTGGCCTGAGGCCACAACCCCCTACAGAGGTAGAGAGGGTGTGTGGGTAGGGACAGTATCCTGTTTATTTTCTGTGCCCCAGTTGTGTTGAAGTGCCTGTATTTTCTGTGCCCAATATGTATATAGTTAAATAAATCTTCCTTTTTGAGTTTAAAAAGCCTGGTGTGCCTTAACCACATAGTCCTCCTGGCTCTGCACATTACCAGGGGCAAAAGGGAGGCCAGGGAACACAAACGGGCCCAAATCGAAGGTGTTGCCAACTCTCCAGGGGGCGTCCAAGGACTGAGGTACCCGTTTTCCAAGGTGGGGAAATCTGCCAGAGGGGTCTCACTGTCCCTCTAGGAAAGGGGTGTCAATTCAGTGAGTGGTGGCAGCATGTAACAGAGAGAAATAGCCCCACCAGGCAGGGTGGGAAGGCCAAAACAGGGGCTTGCGAGCCACAGGACGGCACCTCAGTCGCCCAGGGCTGAGGGCGGGTCCCCGTTTCGCAACAGATGGCATACAAAAATTACAGTCCTTGCCCTTTGAACAAATGATTGAACCAGGAAGATCCCACATGTTTTAAACAAATCCCGCCTTTAAAAAATTTAATGAAGGAATCCTTGAAGAGAAAAAATTCTAACGTAACCCTATCCCCTCTCAGGAACTCAGGAATCCATCAAACATGTTGTTGTTGTTGTTGTTATCCATTCAGTTGTGTTTGACTTTTGACGATCCTATGGGCCAGCTCTGTCCACATTTTCTGATCTTGCACTGGTTCTTTGAGTTGTTCCATGATCAGGCTGGTGTGAACTTTTACGGTGTCTAGCTACCATGTTCTTTGGTGGCCAGGTTTCCTTTTGCCACTAAACAATCCAAGCATAATTGCTTTTTCTAGTGCGTCCTTCTGCATGACGTGGCTGAAATAAGTCAGTCGCAGTTTTGTGATTTTTCCTTCCAGTGGCATGTCTGGCACTCCAATACTTGCTTGTTTGTCACCTTTGCAATCCAAGGAATGCGCAGGAGCCTTTCTCCAGCACCACAGCTCAAATGAGTAGATTTTCCTCCTGCCTTGCTTCTTCATGGTCCAACTTTTGCAGCCATCGGTTGCTATGGGGAACACAATAGCACAGACTAATCTGCATTTGGTTGCTAGGCTGATGTCCTTGCTCTTCCATATTCGATTCATGCTCATCATTGCTGTGCGACCCAGCATGATTTGCTGTTTTATTTCTGGACTGCAATTGTCATTTTAGTTGATCTGTGATCCTAAGAAAGCGAATTCTTCCACACACTTGATCTTAAATCTTAATTCAACTGATGAAAAGTGACAATGCAGAAAAAAAGCAAGATATTCTTTTGCCATCTGCTTTGTTGACCAATTAATCATACATCCCTTATATGGAATAATATTTAGAACAACTGTATTGTGTTCCAGATCTAAGGGAGGTCGTCTCTGATAAACCTTTGTTGTTTTGATGATATCCTTGATGCTCTTTGCACTTCCTGCTACTTCATTCATGATATCAAATGTATTTCTTTTAACTACTTCACTCTCATACCTAATTGCCCCACCTAATCTGAAAATTAGCCAGGAAGACCTGAAATTGATCTGTTGGAAAGTTAATCATTTCAAAGACTTTTTGCAAGGTTTCTGCTATCAGAGGCATCTGAGATGATGCAAGAATTGCCATCTCCTCAGATCTCTTCTTATTAGTAGCATTCTGCTTTAATAATTTGTCAAAAGCTTTCAGGTCAATAGGGGTTCGGGGGGGCAGTATAGAATCCTCAAAACTACATGGAGCTGGCACATGGGCAAACCTACTGGCAAGTACAGTGGTGAAAGTTGCTGAAAATATTCCTCCATCTTACTCTTCTTGGCAGCTAGCACTTACTTCCTCATAAACAACAGACCTCCCCTTCATTATTATTAATCTTCTCCCAGGGACTAACCTATAGAAAACCAATTAATAAAATAAAAGGATTCCTAAAAGAATAAAGGGCTTGTAATTAATATGGCTTGTAAAACTACAAGCTGCTATTAAGTTAAAATATAACTCTAATAAAACTCCCAGATTAAAAATCCCAGATTAATATCCACTGAGATAATCCCTAATGGGAAGTAGAATATAAAATATATGCTATTAAAATATAATCATAAAATAAAATAGCTATAAAATTAACAAAGCTGCTGAGATAAAGCTAAATAGATAAAACAACTAGAATAGAACTGAAAATATTAACATGTTTGCATCATAGAATCACAAACCCAGAACACAACCACCCCTATAAAGGGCAATTGTATAACAAATAAAATAACAACAACAAACCAAACATGTAAATCAGCACAATACAAACCACAGCCATGGCCACAACCTAGGTTAAATTAAATACCAATAAAGAACTAAAAAAGGAAAAAAGAGAAACGAAAAAATCTCCCCCTCCCCCTCCCTTGGTGTTTTCCAAACGGGAGAGAAAATCATTCCAGCCAACCAAGGTCAGCCATTTCAAAAGAAAAAACAACTACTCGCCTCCGCTGCAACAAACTATAACACACTACGGTGTGTGAAAAGAAAAATTCTAATACAAAACTTAGCTACAGTTAAAACAAATTCACTGGGAACAGCTCAGCATCTGCTGACTCACCAGAAAAACAGCTGATGGACCCAGGGTGAGTCCAGTGGGTTCTTGAATGCTTCAACAGATTATTAGGCTTCAACAGATTATTAGGCAATAATGGGGTGGGAAGCACTGGAGGGATACGGAGGCAGCATATGAGGCAGAGGGGCACCACCAGAGGGGCACCCCTCTAGAGTTCACACTCCGTAAGGACGTATCTCTCACTAACAAAAAAGATGACTACCCTCGCTCTAGCATATTTGTTTTTAATGGGTGAACTGCAACCTTAAAAATTAGTCAACTATTGTATCACTGAACCATATTTTATGACAAAAGATAAACACAGAACATACCTGAACCTATTCCATCTATGTACACCAGGCACGCAGCATGTACAAACGATATCACTGGAGATATGCCAGGCATCTCACACTTATCAGACGACTCTGACAGACTCTCTTTCACCATGGCATTCATGAAGTGGACCCACGACAAAACGTCCCGAATGCTGAAAATACACTGGGATCCAAATTCTTGGTTCGTCAGCCACTCAATGAAATCCATCATGACTTCTGCTATATCACTCCCTTTGGAGAAAAAGTATGCGGGGGGACATGAAGAAGAAGATAAAGGTAATACAACTCTAAGCAATTTTGCAAGTACATTTTAAAAATATACAACAGCAATAATCAGAAGACCTTAACAGCCCTTCACAATGAATTACTACTGAGACAAAGGCTTCCTCTAGGTATTTTTTTAGAGAAGTCTCATTACAACCATGTAAACTACTGTAAAATTATTTTAAATACTTGTGAAAATGGATATACAAACAAGTTTGTGGTGCTGGGAACAATCTTTATCTGGAGCAGGGTGTTTGATGAATGCACTATTTCTGTGCAGATGGGAGCTGGTAGGTATGGGGATGGGAATTTTTGAAGATGGGCAGTATTTGGCAAAGATGCTCACTGCTTATCTAACCTCCACAGGATTCCAACAGTCAATGATGCGAGGGTTGTTCTTTCCTTAACTTCTTTCCTGCTTTTGTGCAATACCAGATCAGTGAAGCACAAAACTGCATGCCTGTCCAGGATTGTCCAGTTGTCCACCAACCCTGCATAAAGGTTTGGCCATTATCAACTTGATTCACTTCCGGGAACGGCGCAGCAATGGACGGCTCTCAGGGCTCTCCCGGGCCGCTCGATTCCGTTTCGCTCTTTTTGGAGCCCCCCCATTCGGGATGGGCTTCGCCAGCTCTCCCGGAGAGAGGGCCGGTGCAAGAGGCTTGTTTTGGCTCCCCCTGCACCGCCCCGAAGCAAGAGCGTTTGACTGGAACGTAGCATGGACGCCATGTGTATGATTAGCTGCGACCTCCGTTTTAAATCACCCTTTTGGATTAAAAGATACAGCAACACAGAAAAAAAAATCTAGGAAAATAACTGTGAGTACGTATAGTTCCAGGCTTTATGAAGAGAAGACGACCAGTGAAAGACCCCGGTAATTGTTTTCCCAAAATTGAGAAGAATAGTAGCCAGAGAGCGAGTGGGAGTGAATTATGTAGTCTTTGTTTCTTTATTTTTGCTCCCGGGGAAACCTCGAATTTTACACACTGGCAAGGATTTACAGTGGACATTGGGTAGATGAATTATGATTTTCTAATGGAATGACTTTTAGAATTTAAATGATCTAGTAACAAAAATGGTATCTGTGGTAAGAAAATTTAGAAATATGGGTTTGGGTTTAAAATGAACCAAATAAGTCCATAAAATCCATGTACCTGTTCCTGTAATTGCTAGCAATACAGCAGACAGCCTTGGCCTGTTTGAATCAAACCCCATGATTCTTTGCGAGCTTTTTGCTCTAAGCAGAGCATTCCTCTCAGTGTACTCAACATTCCATTTCCCAGCCCCAGGTGTGAGACTTACAATAAGCAGCTAAGCCAGTTTGGGAAGTGACAGACCCCAATTTCCTAGGCAATAAAATGTGTGGCCATTTGGGCAGCTGATAGACTTCAATCCAAAATGCAAGCTAACTTCCTGAGATACAGAGAGTTCACACATCTCAGAGTTAACATCAAAGGACAGTTTACTTCCCATATTGGGGAACACCTGGAAGAAAGAATGACACTGTATTGATCCTGTAAAATGTGTACACTTTTGTTGTGTAAGACCAAGGAAAGGAAACAAATTTCCTGCAAGACATTTTCAACTTCTAAGTGTTAAGTCACAACTGTAATCTGATTATTGAGGGACCCCTTTG